TAACAATAAATTTACTCTGCTTTACATCATTAAATCATTAAAAGAAATTAATTTTAGACTTCCCTAATTTCTAAATCTTTATTAAACTCATTAAAAAAGAGTCAAAAATTATTCTCCTCTTTATCTGGTTTTCCATAGCGAACAGTAAATTGCTTTTTCTCTTGTAATTTTCTTTCTCTTAATAATCGCTTGATTTCAGGATGGTTTTCGCTAACATAAATAACTCTCCAATCTTTACGATTGACACCCTTAATAATATTTCTAAAAAGGTAATAATTAGCATCCTTTTCCTTTCAAAAGGTTACATAATCAAACTTCTCTTCTTTTCTATCACCTGGAATTGGCTCGGGATTATCATTCGGTTGCTTTGGTATTTCTGGCGGTAAATTATTCTTAGGTTTAGGTTCTGAAAATTTATTTTCTACAGAAATTCTTCCTAACCAAAAGGCTCCAATTAATAGAATTATAATGCCAAGAATACTAGTAATAATTACTGTTTTTTTTTTTTTTGCATACAGCTCTTTAACTATTCTACTTTATTTTTTTCTCCATCAACCCCATCCTCTCCCAATTCTTTGCCCTTCTTAGCCGCAATAATGGAATCAGCCACTAAATTAGCAAAAAAAGTAACTGACTTAACACTTTCATCATTACCCGGAATAACGTAATCAACCAAACGAGGATTACAATTACTATTACAAACGGCAATGACCGGTATCCCAATTTTTTTGGCTTCCCGAAAAGCAGTTTTTTCTTTATTTAGACCAATAATAAATAAAGCATCGGGTTGTTGGTACAAATTAATTACTCCTTCATAAATATTTTGTAATTTGTTTCTTCTTTTTTCCAAACTAACTTGCTCTTTTTTGATCAAATTTTGGAAACTGTCTCGGGTTAAAAAACTATTTAATCCGTATAGTTCCTTTAACTTTTTCTTCATTTCGACAAAATTAGTTAAAAATCCTCCTTTTCATTTATTAACAATGTAAGGCATGCCGCATTTAATGGCCGACTCTTTAACGATATCACGAGTTGACTTTTTAGTAGCCAAAAATAAAATTGTCTTCTTTTTTTCAATTAAGGACTTGATATAATTACCTAATTCCTGACAGCTAGTAGTAATTTTTTGTAAGTCAATTATTGATGTTGTCGCTTCCTTGTAAATATAAGGACGCATTTGCGGATTACGTCACCGAATGGAACTACCGAACTGAACTCCCGCTTCGGCTAATTGATTTTTATCCAGATTAGTCATATATGGTTATTTTACAAAATATTCCCCTTGCGCTAAGCAATTGTTTTCATTCAAAAGAATTTAAGAATTTATTTCAACTTCAAAATTTACTAAAATGTAGTTGTCGTTATTGCCTTCTTCCACAGTAAAGTTATATTCCTTATTTTCTTCGAGTCAATTTCATCTTTCTTCGCTGATTTTTTTGGAAAAAACTAACACGTTTCTTCCATTATCTAGTTTAAGAATTAAATAATCATCATTATTTTTATCCTTCCTTTCTCATTTTTGGTTAATAGTTGCTTTAATTGTTTGAGTATTATTCATTTATTTAGTTATATTTATTATTTTAACCATTATTTGATTTTTAATCAGCGAACTAGGAGAAAACCAAATCTCTTCTTAATACAACAAATTTCTGATTTAGTTAACGTTTTTTTTTTTTTTTGGTCGCTATTCCCCTATTTCTAACAACAAAAAACTATTAAATTATAAGGTTATTTTTTTCTCCACCTCATAATCAACAAGTTTTTGGCATAATTCTGTCAAATCTCCTTCCATAATGAAATTAAGTTTATTTCAACTAATTCCTAAACGGTGATCTGTAACCCGATTTTGCGGTCAATTATAAGTGCGGATTTTTTCCGAGCGTTCCGCGGTACCAATCATAGACAAACGCAAATTCCCGGTTTCTCTTTGCCGGTCAAGTTGTAATTTTTCTCATAAACGACTTTTCAGAACCGTTAAAGCTCGTTCTCGATTAGCATGTTGACTTCGTCCATCTTGCGAGGTAGCAACAATCCCGGTTGGCAGATGGATAATGCGTACCGCCGAATCAGTAGTATTAACATGTTGGCCGCCGGCTCCACTGGAACGACATGTTTCAATTTTTAAATCTTGGGGACGAATATTAAGGGCAATATCTTGGGCTTCGGGTAAAACCACGACGCTAGCGGTCGAAGTGTGGATACGACCTTTATTTTCGGTTTGGGGAACCCGCTGAACGCGGTGAACTCCTGCCTCATTTCTTAATCAACTAAAGACCTCCTTTCCTTTCACCAAAAAAGAAACAAAAGTAAAATTTCCTTCACTATCTAATTTGTTTTCTGCCATTTCGACTTTTCAACCCCTTTTCTCGGCAAATTTAGCATACATGCGGTAAAGGTCGCGGGCAAATAACCCGGCTTCGGTACCGCCGGCGCCGGGACGAATTTCCATAACAATATTTTGTTTAATTCCCTCCTCTTCAATTATTTGTTCCTTAATTTTGTCAATTAATTGCTCTTTTTGTGCTTCAAAGTTTTTAATTTCCGTTCGGAGAAAATCTTGCTCCTCTTTACTCACCTCTTGGGTCAATTCTTGGTAATCTTTTTGTTCTTGGTCGAACTTTTCATACTCATTTTTGCTGGCCAAGAGGAAATGTTTTTTTTTGCTACTTATCCGAGGAGAAATTTCGCTTTTTTCTAACTTTTTTAAATAGTCAATAATTTTAATTTCTAATTCTTTATTCATGAAAATCATTAAAAATAACTTTACTCCGCAATTTTCTCAGCAGATAACCTTGTTTATCAAAGAACACTCCTTCCTCAGTTAATAATTTTCGCTTGACAGTAACTTTTTTCCCTTCTCCTCATTCACCATAATACCCACCAATGAAAAAATTAGTAGCAATAACGCGGTGGCAGGGAACCTCGGCTGATGAAAAAGGGTTTATTTTTAGAATTTGGCCAACTTCCCGCGGTGAAATGTGAAGAAATTCAGCAATATATTTATAAGTTGAAACTTGACCCTTTGGTATTTGGGAACACAAGTTGTAAACCTTGGGGGAGGAATTTCTTGTTGTTGGCTTTGACATTATATTTTGTTTTTAAATTAAATTTTAATCCTGTTGATGACAATTCCTAATCCATAAATGGTTAGTAGTACCATCTTTGAACCAAAACACTAACTTATATTTTTTGTCATCAAACGGAACTCCTTCCCGGACAAAAACCTTTCTTTTGCCTTGGTAGTCAGTGGGGAAAAATCTTTTGCCATTCAATTGAGAATTAATTCTTTGGTAATTCCCCCTCGACCCTTTTTCTCTCAGGGATGGTCAGTAATGGTGATTTTGTTAATGATTAAGTTGCTAAAAATAAACGCAAATTGTATTGCATAAGTTCAGCGTCATTCGTTATCGACTTCCTTGTCTTTAATTAACTTAAACTCGGACACGAAAATTACTTTTTGCTGGTTTCTTTTCGCTGACAATTATTTCTATTTCTGTCGGAGATAATAAGCGATTAGCATAAGTTAATAGCCTATCCAGAGTGAAGCAATTCAAGTGATAATGAAAAATATCTTTGGTTTCGGCGGTAGTTAGTTGGATTTTGCGAGCCACTTCTTCAATCGGTAAATTATTATCCTGCTGATAGGCTAATATTTTCTCACAAACCTTATATTTAGCCTTGTCAATTGGTGAAGTATTAGTGGATAGAGCTTGGGAAATGTCGGGTCCGTCATAATTAGGACTTTCGATTTCTGAGAGATATTTTTTGAAGTCTTCTGATTGATTTTTGTTTTGTTTCATAATCCTTATTTATTAACTGATTTTATAATTTTTTATCATTTCTCTTTTTCAATCTGTTTTTAGATTTTGCTTCAATAACCTCTTTTTTTGGTATACCCTCACTTACTCCAAAAACCCCTTTTTTTCTTTTTTGACATTATATTCTTCCTAATTTCACCCAACAACTCTCGTTTTTGCCATTTGTTTCAAGCTTCTGAGATTTTTTAAGTAATTGACTTTTATTTGGAAAATACTTCGGTTTGGGTCTGAAATTGATTTTCCTCGCACTCTTTTTTCAGTCTATTTAATCATTAGTGTTAATATGTTTAAATTTATATTAAAAACAGGCTTTAATGTGTAGATTTTTTGGTTTACTTTTTAATTTCAAGCTTATTTAAAAAGCGGACATTAGTTTCGTGTAGGGTAATAGTTGGCAGCTGGTCATTTGTGGAGCAAAAGAAAAGGAAAATTAAACAAGTTTGGTCATTATAACAATTATACAAAATTATTAATATATGGATAAAATTCGCGCTATAACCAAACAATATTTCCGCACTGACCTACCGCCTTTACAAGTCGGCGATAAAGTAGAAGTTACTACCAAAAACTTTAACAAAAATGAAAAAAATAAGGATGATGGAAAACCCAAATGCCGGCTAACTCACTTCAAAGGCACCGTAATTACGCAAAAAAATACTGGACAAATTAGTTACACTTTTTCGGTGTTAAAGGATAGTAAAGGTAGTGATAAAGTGGCAATCAGAAGCATTTTTACTTATCATTCTCCTCTCATCGCAAGCATTAAAAAAATTGGCAAAATAAATCAAAAAGTTCGTCGGGCAAAATTATATTATCTGGAAAGAGAATTAGCCAAAAAGAAGGATAATGAGTAATGGCAAGAGCAAATTACCAAACAGAGCGGTATTTTTAATTGCCCTAATTATTTTAACTTTATTAGTTGCTGGCTTCATTCTAATTAGAAACAGTTTAGATAATAAGACTACTTTTAGAAACGAACCAAGCAAAAAAGAAAATAATTTCTCAAGTGATTACCAGTAAGTCTGATATAATAGTTAGTTTTGATGAGGAATATCTAGATCCGGTTATAAGTCAAAAAAAGACCTATGATTTTCGTAGTTGACGAGCTGACTCCGAAGTAAAAAGAATGTGAGTTTATGCCAATAAACCACTCCAAAGTTTAATGTATACCTTGGAAGTTGAATATCCTAACCAAATTTCTAATGACAATGTTTATAATGAGTTGTTTAACCAAGGAAAAAGTAAAATATGCTACAAATAGAAACTAGACATCAAGAAATTATTCATTCAATTCTATCCAAATATCCTTATCAATTCTATGCTTATGGTTCGCGAACTAAAAACCGAGCCAAAAAATACTCTGATTTAGACCTTTGTTTTTACAGAGAAATACCCCGGAATGTTCTCGGTCATATTCAAGAAGATTTAGAAGAGTCTGATTTACCTTTTAAAGTTGATTTGGTTCGATGAGGATGAATGAGTCCAGAATTTCAAGAGTTAATTAAGTCAGATTTAATACCAATAAAATAAAAAAGGAAGTGTGCCCGAGCGGTTGAAGGGGCTGGCTTGGAAAGCTAGTAATATCTAATCCATATTCGGAGGTTCGAATCCTCTCACTTCCGCCAAAAAATGAATATGCTTTACTCTCCCGAGCAAAAAAGGAAAATTATCTTGGATAATTATAGTCAACCCAGCCAGCAAGTAGAATTAGAAGAGTTAAAAAAAAAAAGCACGGAATGACAAGTGCCTTTTGCCACTTTTCGCAGCCTGGACTCAGGCTGTGGTGATATCATTCACTTACTAATAAAAAAAAAAGATAATTATTTGGAAAAATGCTTATTTTCCGGTCAAAAGTCTTGCCTTATTACCGTGGCAGTTGCTAATATTCTTTGTTTTAGTTTAGAAGGAAAAGATTTAAAATCTTCCCAATGATTACTCAGTAATTGCGAGGCCATGATAGAAAAGAAAGAATATGATTTAGAAAATTACCCTGATTTACAAGTATTTAGTGATATATCTCAATTTCCCCACCGAATAGAATGCATAAAAATAGTACTAAGGGGCATGAATAAGTTAATAGAGGATTATAACGTATAAAATATAATAATATATAAAAAGTTATGAAAAATAACAATAAAAAAGAATCACTAAAAGAAAAAGAAAAAACAACTACAAGCAAGGTTAAAAAAACTGCCAAAAAAGGAAAAAAGAAGGTTGATGAAGTTCGCCAAAGTTCTCGGTGAAAAAAAACCAAAGAAGTGGCCAAAAAAATCGCCAGTAATGTTGGCCCCCGTTTGGCAACCCTCAAAAGTTCGGTTTCTTTATCTAACCAAGAAGCGAAATTGCTAGAAAGTTTAAAAAAAGAGTTAAACAAAAATGGTGCTTATCCTTCAAAAAGTGAGATATTGAGGGCGGGATTGTGAAGTTTAAGAGACAAGGAACCAACAGAGTTGAAAGAATTAATAAACAAATTAATTGAAGTGAAGCGGACCCGCATTCTCTAATTTTGAAAAATTAATTTCATTTCTTCTAATAAAGTTAAGTGCTTCGGCTCCGACAAATATTTTTTTAGTCCTTTTTGTGTTTCTTCACCTAAAATTTCCCGAAACTTTTCTCACTCCTCCTTTTTCGCGGCAGCCAAAAAACTAGTTAAATCAGGATAAAAATTAGTTAATTTTTGAGCTTTGACTGAACTAAGCAAAGGAATACCTAAGGCAGTCAATAAATTGGCGAAGGGTTTTTTTTTGGAATTTTCTATTGAGTTTAAAATATTACTGACCGACTTTTTTTTTACTCCCGCTAGTTTTAATAATTCTTTTTCTTTGTGATAAAGTTGATAAAAATCAGCGGGTGATTTTAATAACTTATTCTCGTAAAGTTTTTTAATATTTTTCTCACTAACTCCTTTGATATCGAGGCCAGTTTTGGCCGCAAAATGAACCAGATAGTTAACAATTTTTTGCGGACAGTCACCGTTTTCACATACTTGATAAATACCGGTCGAGTTCCACCTCAGAAGTGATTGACAAGAAGGGCAATTAGTAGGAGGTAATCAAACGCCATCCTTATTTAACTTAATTATTTGGGTTATTTGTGGTATTACATCACCAGCTTTCTTTATCACTATTTCATCAGCAACGTTTAATTTTAAATTAGCAATAAAAGCATAATTATGCAGAGTTACCTTACTTATCTTACTCCCTTGTAAAATTGTCGGTTCAATTTCCGCCACGTAAGTTATTCGACCACTCCGACTTACCTCAACATAAATATTCTTAACTTGGCTAGTAGCAACCGAAGCCGGAAATTTGTAAGCCATCGCTCAACGAGGAAAACGACTAGTTTGCCCTAATTTTTCGTAGACACTATAATCATTCACTTTAACCACAATGCCATCACTTTCAAAATCTAATTTTTCTCGCTTTTTGGCTTGTTTTTTAATAAAATTTCCTACTTTTTCAATATTTTGCAATACCCGATAATCAAGACTAACCGCAAATCCTAACTTTTCTAATTCTTGTAAACAAGATAATTGGTTCGGTAAATCACTATTAAATAACTGATAAGCAAAAAAATGTAATTTTCTATTTTGTAAAGGGATGAGAGTACGCAAACTACCCGCGGCGGCATTACGAGGATTAGCCAATAATTTATTACCAGTTTTGCTTAATTCCTCATTGAGGCGAGCAAATTCCTCCTTTTTCATGTAAACTTCCCCCCGCACCTCGCAATTAGCAATTTCTGGCAAGGAAAAAGGAATGTTTTTTATTAACTCTTTATTAAAAGTTATGTCTTCGCCAATAACTCCATTACCTCGGGTACTGATTTGGGTTAGTTGGTAATTTTGATAAACCAAACTAACCGATAAACCATCAATTTTTCATTCGCAAATATATTCTATTTCCTCCTCCGTTTTCAATATCTTTTTTATTCTTTCGTCAAACTTCAATAAATCTTCATAATTATCAACACTATCTAAACTTAACATGGGGTTTTGACGAACCACAGGGTAAAATTTGGGACTGGCGGGATGACCCGCTTTTTGGCTTGGCGAATTAGGAAGAATAAGATTATATTTAATTTCTAACTCTTTTAGTTCTTTTAAGTGTTTATCATAGACCGCATCTTCCACGCTGGGCTGATTAAGGATATAATATTCATAATTTCATCTAGCAAGCAACTCAATCAACTCTTTTATTCTTTTTTCTGGTACTTGATTTTTTTTATTCATGTAAAAGGAGAATTGTATAAGTAAAGAATTTTAATAAGAAAAATCACTCATCCAATTACAAAACTTTATAAAATAAAAATATATAGAAGCATTCTATATTAAACATTAAGAATAAATAATAATGCCATGACACAAATCAATAATAATCTTCCTCCTTATGCTGAGGAATTAGTAATTAATAACGAAGAACAAAAGTTAAATATTTAAGATATAATTTCCCAGTTTAAACAACCCATTCCTAATAATTTTGTGGAGTTAACTAGACCTAAAAAAAATAATTGGGGTTCCACCGCTGGTTGAAAAGAACTAGTTTGCGAAAGATACTCATTTTCTTGGAACAATAAAAGTATTTGGTTAGATATTCCCCACCAGTTAATGGAGAAATTGGAATTGCCCCAGGGGAAAAATTGCCCGTGACCTTTTTATCTCAACCCAAAAGTTTTAAAACGCAAGGAAGCGGAGGGTGCTATCACCATTAAAAATGAAAAAGAAATATTTTTATTGAAACCTTTAACAAAAGAGCAAGGAACTCAAACCGAATTAAAGAGTAAGGAAATTGATTATTTATATCAGCAAACTACCAGTTTAACCAAGGAAAAAAATAAAGTTAGATTATTAATAAACAAATCGCAAAGTTTACGAGAAGAAAGAAAAAAGTTATTAGCAAAAATTAAGGAACAAGCAAATGAAGATATTTTAAGTCAGCAAACTATTATTAATTTACAAGAAGAAGTAGCCTGTTTGGAAGAGAAATTAGTAGAAATTGAAAAAACCAGAAAGTTTTGAGAAAATGAATGATTAGCCGAAAGAAAGAATAATAATAATTTGACTGCGGAACGCGATGACTATCAAACTAAGTGAGATAATTCCCTAGAAGACTTGGAACAAAAACAAGCAATAATTCAAAATTATTTACAGAAAATAGAGGAATTGGAAAATAATATCACCAGCATTCAAAACCTATTGGGATTAGATGACCTTAATAATCTCCCTCAAATACCACAAGGAGAAACCTTGATTAGTTTATTGGAACGACCAACCCAAGAACAATTACGGAAAAAAGAAGGCAAGATAAACGAATGAAAGGACAAATTTCAACAACAACAAACCCGAGCAGATAACTTACAAGCAGAACTAGAAAGAGAAAAAGGGTGATGGGATAAGTGGATTGGTGATGATACAGACAACAACAAATATGGTGCTGGCAATATGAATTCTGAACAATGTTTTTATTGAAAAAATGGCGGTATTTTCAAAGAAGGCATTTTTGGTTCTGAGTATGACACTAGTTTTATACCAGAAGGTATGTTTTGCATATATTTTTCTAAAAACCTTGGTGGAAACAAACAAGAAAAGATTTGAATACAAGGAGGCTTAAGTTATATTAAAGATAAAAAAGAACTCGCGAGAATACCCAAGCAATTATTTAAGAAAACTTTTTACGAACACTACAAAAATCAATAATTATGACTAAAACCCCACAAGAATTAGAAAAAGAAACTAACAAAAACTTTATTCTCAATAATTTGGATAAATATATTGTTGATGGACACGGTATTTTTTATCACACAGAACTCGGATTAGGTGATGATTATTATTGTATTGGCAGTGAATTAGTAAAAGATTATGAAGAAGTAAAAGAAAAGGTTATTGAAAGTGTTTTGAAAGATAAAAACAAATGAGATAGATGTTTTAATAGGAAAGCAACTGCCAGAATAGCCAAAGCAATTTTACAGGAAAAGGAGGATTGAGAATTAATAACTTTTTCCGATGGCTTTCCAAAAGGTCTAATAAAGAATTGTAAAAACAATATTGAAATAGATTTGTGATTGTGAAAAGGAAATCAAAGACGCTTTTTAATTGGGGAAATGGGTTATAGAGAAGATGACCTGTGAAAGGATTATGATAAAGAAAGAGATTATTATTTAGAACTAATTGAGGAAGACGAGAAAGAAATAAAACAAGCAAAAACCTCAACTAACTCAAATCCTCCTCAACCTCAACAATCAGAACAAACCCAAGAAAAGGAAGAAAAACTCAAAAAAAAATTAGAAGAAGAAAATAAGAAATATGAAGAAGCCAAAAAACAAGCATCTCAAAATTGCAATAAATCATCCCAACCAGAAAACAATTCTTCCGAAAATAAAAAAGAGAAGGAGAAAACTAATAATCCCCAAAAACCAAGCGAGAACAATTCAGATATCAGCCCAACCAACGAACCAAACCAACCTAATGACCAGATTCAGAAACCAATCATCAACATCCCAGATATAAATAACAATTCCTCAGTAGCCGAAGTCAAAATCAACCTTAAAAATCAAATTATTCAAGTTTTAAAGAAAAACAACTTACAAACTTCTGATTTATCCCCAAAATACCATAATTGAGAAAAACAATTAGCACAATTAACTAATAAAGAGCAAATTACTGCTCTGGTTCAAGCAATAAACCACCAAATAGAACAAAGATTAAAAGAACTAAAACAGTCTCAAAAGCAGACGAACAATAACCAACCATTTTCTTTAACTGGTAAAGTGCTTATTGGTGGGGGAGTAATTATATTAATATCTTTTGTTTTCCTAATATTAGTAAAGAGAATTAGGAGAAAGTAAATAAGTTTAAAGAATAGAAGTCAGCAAATTTAATTAATATTTTCAGTAGCGAACTTTCCTAAAAGTATAAAAAATAATATTAATCAATTTAATGACGAGAAAACTAGATTTTTGGGTTCTTTATAAAAAGTTCAAAGCCAAAGTAATTAGACATTTTTTTCTTACTACTGTCCGGGTAATAATTTCAATTATATTAGTAGGAACGATTAGTAATATTTTTCAGATTAAAGACGGGATACCAGATAATTTTAATTATGCTAACTTATTGCCCGAAAAGTTGCGGTCGTTATTAGGGAAAATAGAACTAAGTAAAAGTCAATTTGTTATTGGTGGCTTGTTACTGGTATTAGTTTATGCTCTGGTTTACTATTGGAATAGTTTAGCCGAGGAAGAATTGCGAATAAGAGGCGGTCATTATACTAAAAATTTGGTGCTGGATAAGTTTCGTTGCTTACCTTTGGAAGAAAAAGAAGCCCGAAAAGATGAAGTAAATAATTTAATAGAAAAGGATGCTGGCGAAATAGGTTATGATTGGGAACATTTACCTAATCACACTTTCCACAGCGTTTTAGAAATTTTCCTGGTGTTAATTTTCTACTGAAAAAACTTCACCAAGATGACTACGCAACAGCTGGTCTTTTCCTTTTTTTGTTTGTTTTTAATTAATATCATTGTCTACTTTTTCACCAAGAAAATCTTGCGGAATGAAAAAAGATATAAAGAAAGATTAAGTGTTGAGTCAGCAGTAATTAATAAGGAAAGAAATAATGCTACTCTAGTGGAAAGTTCCGGTCTGACTTCCCAATATAGTGCCAAGCAGAAAAAAGTAACCCAAGCCAACGAAAAATTATTACTCAATTTCAACCACACCAAATCATTAAATAGGACGATACCTAACAATTGGTTAATGGAATCATTTCCATTCCTCTTACTAGCTTTGAGTGGTGGTAGTTTTGAAGGAGTCATTTTGATGGCTTTTTGGGAAATATTCGGTAACTTTCGTTCCATCTTCCAATGTTTATGAGAATATGCTGATTATACCTCTTCGCGTGAAAGAATAAACTCTTTCCTGGCTCTGCCGGAAAAAAATGATAATCTGACCCAACCGAAACTGCCCCCAAATATTGCGATTACTGCCCTGCGTTTGGAAAATATTTCTTTTCGTTATGGGAGACAAAAAGAATGGTTATTAAAAAACTATAACCGGACTTTTTCACCGGGCAAAGTTAATTATTTATTAGGCAAAAATGGAACTGGCAAAAGCACTGTTTTATATCTCTGTTTAGGTTTATTAGTACCCCAAAAAGGACAAATAATTGTGGAGTGTGCTAACGGACAAGAATATGTCCTTTCCCACCAACTTAACCTCCACAACTGACGGGAGAAAAATGTGGCTTACTGTTCTCATGAAACCCTAATAGAGGAAGGTTCAACCGGCCAAAAACAATTAGTTAATATTAACCAAACTTTAGAACAAAAAAACCAGGCTCAAATCTTTTTCTTTGATGAAGCCGATAATGCTTTAGACCAAGATAACCAAAAACAACTCCAAGAAAAAATTAAGGAGTCAGCCAAGGACAAGATAATTATTTATATAAAACACTAAAATTAATTAAGAAAGAGTGGTAGTAGATTGAGCATAATTATTCCGAAAAAGTTATTAAATTAGTATTATAAATGCCTACTTTTGTTATTCAACCAGGAGAAGCCGACCAAACGCTAATTAGCTTCCTCAAAAGAAGGTTTAAAACCACTCCTTTAACGTTAATTTATAAATTATTCCGCACTAAGAAAATAAAAGTTAATGGCGAGAATATTCGCTATTATCACCAGCGCTTAAAAGTAGGAGAGGAAATTAATATCTATGATGGTTCACTCAAAGTTGCTCAGCCCAGTATTTCCCTAAAACCAGAAAATTCGGAACTAAATCCCAAGATTATTTATGAAGACCAAAACCTTATTATTGTCTTGAAAGAACACGGGTACCTAATGCCGGAACTAGATAAAGCAGTCCAACATTACCTTTACCAACAAAATCCTCAATTATATCAAGAACTAAGCCAAAAATATTTCTCTTTCACTGCCACTCACCGCCTGGATAAATTAACCAAAGGACTAATTATTTATCCGAAAAATCCGACGGCCAAAAGGATACTGCATAATGCTATCAGTGATAAAGAAAAAATAATAAAAAAATATCTTGCCCTTTGTGAAAAATTACCGAAAAAAGCTCTGCCGAATTATATTAGTGGTTATTTAGGAAAAAATGAGCCAGCACAAAAAATGGAATTTGCCCCGGCTTGCTCAACAGACACTAGCCAATGAAAAAAAGGCAGTATCAAAGATTGTGCGTTGGAAATAAAAGAAATTGACCGAGAAAATAACCAACTACTGTTGGAAATCACTTTACATACCGGTCGCAAACACCAAATTCGTAGTATTTTATCTTATTGGGACTGTCCGATTATCGGTGATAAAAAGTATGGCAGTAAAATTATAACAAAAGACAAGATTTATTTATTAGCCTATAAAATTATATTTGTTGATTTACCCGCGCCTCTTTCTTACTTGAATGGCAAAGAATTTCAAGTAAAGAGAACAGAGTTAAAATAATATGTAAAACATAATTAATAAATTACCATCATGCCAGCAAAAAAAAAAAAAAAAACAGATATCTGCTGTGAGAAAATATAAAAAGGGTAAAATCAGTGGATAACTTGTGTCATTTAAATAGAGATTTAGAAAAACAAACTATTAGAAATATACAAAAAATTAAAAATAAATAAATAAAAAATATATGGCAATGGACAAAGCAGAAGCACGTAAAATACTAGGGGTAAGTGAAAATGCTACTCCTCAAGAAATAAAAAAAGCTCGTGATGGGCTTGCTCGAAAACATCACACTGATAAAGGAGGTTCTAACGAAGAAATCCAGAAAATTAATGTGGCTTATGAAGTTTTGACTAAGGGAGGCGGTGATAGTTCGGACATAGACGAGGATGCAATTTGAAAAATGAAGCAAAAAATTGAAAATGCTTTGGATTATAACAATGTGAGAAAGGAGGAAATGGATGATGACACGGTTAAACATTATGAGACTAAATTACGTGGATGCAAAACTAAGGAAGATTTAGAAAAATTTACCTCGGAAGTGGTTTTTTTTATTCAAGTTTATGCTCGGGCTCGGGATGCTGGTTATTTTAAAAAAGCAGATGAAGTTCCTAAGACTAAACCAGCACCTAAAACTGAAACAAGAAGCAGTGCTGATTCCAGTACTAATTCCCCAAAAAAATATCCCGAATTTACCTGTGAATGATGTAAAATCAAAGTAGGGAGTGATGACCCGCGTCCGAAGTATACCTTTACTGGAAGCGATAAAGCATTTTGTTGCGAAGATTGTCGAAGTCGGTGAGACAAGGATGATAAATGATGGAAAGATTTCGATGAAAAAAGGTCAAAAGAAGCTCAAGAATGAGAAGACTACAAAAGAAAACAGGATCAAAAATGAGCAGACTATTTTAAAAACGCAAGCAGCAATAGTTATAATTCTTATTCTTCCTATGCCTATACTCCCTCCTCATCTTCTTCTGGTAGTTCCGGTTCTAGCAATGTGGCATCATGATTGGATGAGTATAAAAAAAGTAGAGAAAAACAAGAAAGTGAGAGTTTGGCGGAAGATAAAAAATAATATATTCGAGATGTGGAATTTAAATTAAGCCTAAAATCCGTTTCTGAGGAAAAATTGAACAAAAAATTAGGTGCTGGTAATTGAAAGGATAGGATTAATGAGTGTTCAGACTCTTGGGAAGCTTGAAGTAGGAAATTTGACATGGAAAATATAATTGATAAATTGTCTCGAGAATATACTTGTGCCAATTGTGGAGTAGTTAAAGATAATTATTATCCTTGGGAAAAAGAGGGTAAAAAATATTGTTCGCTCGACTGTCAAGATAGCAAAGATAAGAAAAATACAAAGTCATTAGGAATTTCTAGTTTGAAAGAGTTTTTTAATTGGATGAGAAAAATGGGGGCAGTCGAAGTCAAATTTGATTTAACAACTAATCAAATAATAGTTAAATGTAACGATGGTGAAAAAAAATTGAATCTCGCTACTAGCGGTTTATCACTAAAATTGCAAGAAGAATTAAAACATGCAAAAGAACCGATTACTTTTAGCCAAGTTAGTAAAGCACTTGACCAAAAAAATAAAAAAAATGATAATGCAGCAATATTTGGTGCTATTCTTCTGGCCGGAATAATTTTGGCAGTCATTATCGGTGTAGTTGTTTATAACAAAAAGAAAAGAGATTACTAAAAGTTTTACTTTTCAATAACTATTTTGGGAGCAGGAATTAGGGTATACTTAATTTCTGCATCCCTTAACATTCTCTTGGCGGCAATTATTTCCTCTTTTTCGTTGCGTTTATCATTGGAATAGAAAATTTGTTTTATTCCGGCTTGAATAATTAATTTAGCACATTCACAGCAAGGAAAAAGAGTGGTGTAAAGAGCAAAACCATGACAATTTTGCCGAGCATGAATTATCGCGTTAGCCTCCGCATGAACGACGTAAGGATATTTAGTTTCTAATCAATTTTCTTTACTATTTTCTCAGGGGTATTTATCATCTGAACAGCCTCACGGTAAACCATTATAACCGGTAGCAATGATTTCTTTATTACCATTAACTATTACTACTCCCACTTGGGTATTAGGGTCCTTACTGCGGAGAGCACAAACTTGGGCGATAGTAATAAAATATTCTGGTCAAGTTAAATAATTATTTCTTTTCGGCATAAATAAAAAATTTTGGGAGTTTTATTAAGTAGAGTTAATAAAGACTTTGTTCTTTAATGTTCCGAGCAGTTGAAAGTGACAAAAACGTAATGTTCGAAGTGGAATTGGTGGTAGTAAAGTAAAGTTTTAACCCACATCTTGTAATGATTTAATAAGAAACAAACTAGCCAATACACTCGTCCTCTTACTAAGAATTTAGTCATCTAGTTTGTTGTTGCTGTTTCAAGGAAACTTCTATCTCAGACTTATATTCATCTTGTTTCTTTTTTAATAATTCAGTCATGAACTTGAATGAAAGATTGTAAATTCCAGGTAAAATGCTTTCTCTGGGACCAGTTATATTCAGCGTGAAATGTTTTTGATACATTTTTTTCATTCAACAAAGAACTTCATCAATGTTATTATTACTATCATCAAGGTAAATAATCTTGCATTCTTTTTGAAGTTTGCTAGCCTCTTGAATATCAAACAAAGTTCCATCTTGACTTAGGTCAGAATTTAATAACCGCAAAACCAAAGTAGCGTCGGCATATAGAATGTTGGTTTTAGTTCTTGTGGAATAATCTTGGAATTCAGTTTCAATTAATGGATAGTGTAGTGGAATCTCACCATCTTCTTCTAACCTTTTTTTCGGACATCACCCAGTGACATGAACAAGAAAAGTCGTGTCTTTTTTGCTATTATGTTCCAAAGCAGCATCAAGAACTGCTCGGCTAACACCAGTTTGTCCATCAGTTCGAATGGTAAGTTGTCGTTCTTGATATATTAATTTTTCATATTCTTTTATTTCTTCTTCTAACCAAAATTTAAGCGCTTCAAAAACATTTCATATTCTTTTTTCTTCGATCTCTTCGGCTAATTTTCTAGAGGCCTTTTCGGGAGTTAAAAAGTGCTTAACTATGTTAATAGTTAATCTGTTATCAATAATTTTTTTAATCAAAGAAAGATGAAATTGACGTCAAGTTTGGTAATGATAACAGCCTTTACGAATTTTGTAAGGTTCTAGTGAATTTCGAATAACGCTTTCTATTTCTTTGTTCGCATATCAACAAATTCTTTCAATGCTTTTGGGCAAATACTCTAAACCACTATTGATGTTTGTATGAGAAATATCCAATTCAACTAGTTTAGAATTGTATTTTAGAAATCCTAAACTTCCATCAAAGCGATTAACAATTTTGTTTTCGATTTTTGTTTGATTATTATTTCCTAATTTCAGCACTTTTAAATTAATCAAACCAATTAGAAATCTTAAATCTTGTTTAGGAAAGTTGTTGCTTGCGATGTCTAATTTCTCCAGCTTTTCGTTTTCCTTGTTTTCCTTTTTTTTTCACTTTAGTTCAGTTAAAAGATTGTCAGAACAATTAAGTTCCTTTAGATTGGGGCAAACACTGACATCCAATTTTTCTAGTTGATTGTCAAAGCATTCAAGACTCTCTAGATTGGGACAACCACTCAAATCTATTTTTTTGAGTTGGTTTTTAGAACATGATAAATTAGTAAGATTATTTAACTGTTCAAGTTTCACATCAACAAGTTTGTTGCCATAACAATTAATGGTTTGCAATTTAGGGCAATTAATTACTTCAAGATAATCGATTTTACTTTCTGGAAGTGTCAAAGACACTAGGTTGGGAATGTTGTTTAACTTTAAAGAACCTTGCATTTTTTCAATGTTATTGTCATAACCAAATATTTCAAAGTCTTTTGAATTTTTGGGTTTAATTTTTTGCTGGTAGTATCAGTCTATTCACTTTTGAGCACTAGTAGTTCACTTGAAATCGCTTCTTTTTAAATTAGGATGATTATCAAAATTTATTAAATCAGAACTAGCGATTGGATTGTTATATAATTCTAAGAGTGTAAGATTTAAGCATTGCTTGATATTTAAACTATTGATTTGGTTATTTGAGCAATTAAGTACTTGTAATTAAGGATTATTACTTAAATCTATGCTTCGCAATTGATTGTTATGGCAAGAAAGAGTTTTTAAATTGGGTCATTCTTTCACATCTAAACTAGTTAATTTATTATGAGAACAGTTTAATTTACTTAATTTATTCCCTAACTTTAGTTTAGTTAAAGGGGATTTTAAGTATCTCCCATCGATCACTATTCTTCATAAATTTACATAGTTACTTAAATCTAATTCTCCCCCATCAATATTTCTGAATTGATTATATTTATCAACAACTATCTCTTGCAAAAATGTACTCCGTTGTGTTTCTTGGTTTATTGGATATTCTTCATTTAAATATTCTTGTAGTGTTGTCATATATTTATTTTTCAATATTATTATCACTGCCTAAATAACTAGAAAGATTTCTCTCAATAGGGACCCTCAACCCAATAAAATCTCTCTTTTTTGTCTCCCCAAAGTGGGGAGATTTTCTGGAATTGAGAGATTATAACTTTTCCCTTCCTTTCTGTTTTTTCTTCTCTTTGGTGGTAATTTTGGTAAAAATTTTCCTGCGATTCTTTTTTTTTAACTTTTTATTCTTGGCTCTTGTCTGAATATCACCATCATCAAAGACTTGATAATCAGGAAAGTACTTTATTTGTTGACTTTCATTAGTTAAAGCAGATTGTAAATCAACTTTGATTTGATTAGCCAAAGTTTTGTTGGATTAGATTTTGAGAAACCACTTTTTTGGGTTATTTTTTCCAAATAGAAAAGATCACTAACTAACAAAGACAAAAAAATATGCTGCCAATTATTAAAAACATTGTTTATTTTTGCTGAATTACCATGGTTTATTTATAATTAACATTTTTACTTATTCTTATAAATATAAGCAGTGAAATCAGGAAATTCCTCTTTTTTAATTACTTCGCCTTTATTTCAGTTGGAGAAAGGAAAAAACACATTGCCTTCATATTGTCCCTTTACCATTGAAACATAATAATAATCGGCACAAGAATAAGTTTGCTGATAGATTTCCCGACCACCAATTACAAAAATATGTTGGCTGGGATTTTCTTTATAAGGCTTTAAAATTTCTCGTAAGTTGCTGGTGAAAATTAAGTTTTTTTCTTTCCAGTTCTCATATTTTTCTTTGTTTCTCGTGATAACTATATTAAGTCTATTTTTCAGTGGCTTACCAATGCTTTCGAAAGTTTTAGCACCCATTAAAACTGCATTTCCAAAAGTAATTTGCGAAAAGTATTTCATTTCGGCGGGAATTTTCCAGGGCAATTTATTGTCTTTGCCAATAAGGTAATTTTGGTCCATGGCTCAAATTAGGTTTATCATAAAGTTTATATTTATTAATTACTTCTCACAATTGCCGATACAAATAAAAGTAATCAAAGTACTATTAAAAACAAAAATCACTTTCTATTCTTTCCAAAAATCCAACTCCGTCAGTTGTCGTCCCCGTCATATCCCATTGCTTTGCTTATTCATGAATAGTTAAGAGCACAAATAGCAGAAGTAAAAATAAAATAAATTCAGAGAAAGATTGCGTATTTTTTTTTGAAAAGCCAAAGAAATCATAACTTGGGAAAAAAGTGACCAAAAATAAGAATTACCGTAACCAAGTAAATTAGAAATAAGAAGATAAAATTTTCCAATTTTCTTCGCTTGTTTTGTCTAGTTTTAACCATCATTTTTTACTGATATCAAACTTGTATCTTTCCAAATATTTTCGATTTACACCGCCACTTTGGCTCTAATTGGTGGATAAGGGTCATAATTTTCTAAACTAATATCTTCATAACAAAAATCAAAAAGCGATTTTATTTTGGGATTAAGTTTCACAATTGGTAATTTTTTGGGTTCTCTGGTTAATTGTTCTTTAACTTGTTCAAAATGGTTCAAGTAAATATGAGCGTCGCCAAGGGCATGAATAAATTCTCCTAATTTATAACCGCAAACTTGGGCTATCATCATAGTTAGTAAACTATAAGAAGCAATATTAAAAGGTACTCCTAAAAACATATCACCACTTCTTTGATACAATAAACAAGACAATTCTTTCTTTTCTGAAACAAAGAACTGAACTAACAAGTGACAAGGGGGCAGGAGCATTTGCTTAATTTCTGGTGGGTTCCAAGTAGTTAAAATGTGACGACGAGAAAAAGGACTATTTTTTAAGTTCTCTACTAGTTCTTTTAACTGGTCCACTCCGCCAAAATTGCGTCATTGTTTGCCATAAATAGGACCCAAATCACCATGTTTTTGAGCAAAATCATTATCAGTTTTTATTTTTTCGGCAAATTTTACTAAATTCCCTCCCTGGTAATTTGGCAATTTTTTATATTTCTCATAAGGTCATTCGTTTCAAATCCTTACCCCATTGTCGACCAAATATTTAATATTAGTCTCTCCCTTAATAAATCAGAGTAGTTCATGAACAATGGCTTTAAAGTTTACTTTTTTGGTAGTTAGTAATGGAAAACCTCCTTGGAGACCAAATCGCATTTGACAACCTAATAGTGATTTGGTACCTATTCTAGTTCGATCTTGCTTTTCCTCACCATTATTTATTATATTTGTTAAGATTGCTAAATATTAGTCCTCTCCCATTTTTTAGATTTCTTTTTCTTCTCAAACACCTAATCTTTTTCTTATTTCAGTTACTACTTCCGCATCGATTTTTCTTTTTTTAAATCCTTGTTCCAAAGTGATATTATGGGTATTAAGTTTTTTGATTACATTCATTATCTCTTCCCGTTCGGTCGGCAAGACCCCGGCTGCTATTTTTCTTTCCAGTTGCAATATTTCCACCTCCCTTTTTCAGTAGTCTCAAAGCAGCATTAGTTTGTTTTCGATTCTTTCCGATTCTTTTCAATTATCATCAAATCATCCTCTATTTTCTTTTTCCTGTTTGGCTAATTCTTTCAGTTTATCCGAAAATTTCTTTTTCAATTCTTTCTTTTCCATGATAAGTTTCCGTAATTGGGCTTCAATATCTTCTAATATCTTTTCGGCTCGAGTTTTTTTACTACTGACTTCTGGCATAATTTATTAATAGATTTTAGTATTTTCTTACTAACTTAATTTTAGTGGCTTATCAAGATAACTAATTTCTTTTTGCTAATTTTAGTTATTTTTTCGCGAAATTCTTTTTTGTTATTTTCATCCAAAGCATTATCCGCTTCATCAAAAATGAACACTTCCTTATTTTCACTATTGGTGAAAAGGCTATTTAAGTCGGCTAATTGTTTTTGGCCGGTTGATAAACCATTTTCAATGAGATTTTCGTGTTCCGCATAAGCAATTTTTGCTCGTCATTTTATTAGATTTATTTCGTTCATTTTTATTTTATTATTAATTAATATTTCCCCATTATTGGGCTGATATAATCCCATAATTAGGCTGATTATTGTACTTTTACCAAAACCATTGGCGCCAGTTAAATAATTTACTTGTCCTTTGCTAAACTTGATGTCTAATTTTTTCAGGACATATTTATTTTCTCGGTAAGCAAAAGAGACTTTTTTTAATTCTATTTGGGTAATTGGTTCCGGAATGAGAAGATTTTTTTGCTGGTCGTTTCGCTCTTCCTGAGCCAAAAACTCATTCAGTCTTTTTTTGGCCGAAAAATAATAAGTGTAATTTCTTAGTCTTTCGATCATTTTCTTTACGGCGTCTAATAAATCAGTAAACATAGTAAAAGCTATGAAATCGCCACTGCTGGAAACAAAAGGAAGAAAAAAATATTTAGAATACTTGATGAGTGAGTAAGAAGGAATTACAAAAGCAGAAGTGTAAAATAAATCTTCTTGGTTGGCTATTTTTTGAGTATTTTTAAGGGTTTGGTTATATTTTTGTCAATAAACTCCTCCCAAGTCCTTTTTGATAATTAAATCGCGGTGCTTAACAAAGTCTGTTTCCTGATTAGTTTGTTTTTCTAACTGTCTTTGAAATTCTAGGTCTTTTTTGTGTAAAAAGAAGTTAAATAGTCCACAAATTGCCACCGTCAAAAAGAAGTAGCCTAGGGCTCACCAAACAACGTTCGAAGGTGAACCTGATATTAATCAAAAAGCAGCAACTGTTTCTAAGAATATGTAATAAATCTGATTGGGAGCATAAACCACTCAATCAGTGAAAACTCGGCTATCATAAATTAAATTACTGAGATTTTGTTTTTGGTCGATAGGACCTTTAAGGTTGAGAGTTTTCTTTACCAATTTCTGCTTAATATCACGAATGACCTTGTTATTAAACCAGTAAGAAAAATAAACATGAGCGAAAACAACCGCACAGTAAACCGCTATTATTATTCCCATGACTACTAGGAAATCACTTAAGTTTTTTTTAAAATCGAATATTACTTGGCTTTTACTGAAACCGATTTGGTAATTGATTTGTTCGGTTTGTCCTTTTTTTATCAGGTCATAAATAAAATTTACGGAATTTCTTGTAATAAACCACGAACCAAAAAAACTTATGGTAGTTAAGAAATAGAACATTACTTGGTCTTTTCAATACTTTTTTGTTATAGTAAATCAGTTAATTTTTTCCTTGTTTTTTGTAATTTTCCGTTTTGACATATTTTTAATTTTCTATTTTTTGAGGAGTAAATTTGTATATCTCATCAGTGTATTGTAAAACTTCTTTATCGTGGGTAATAATTAGCACTGTTTTGCTTCGTAATTCCCGAAAGACAACTTTCAAGATTTTGGCTTTTAAATCGCTGCTAACATTACTCAAAAACTCATCAAAAAGATAAATTTCGTAATCTTTAATAAACACTCTCATTAAACTAACTAATTGTTTTTGTCCTTCGGAAAGGTTTTGACCCTTTTCCGCAATAATAGTTTTTCAACGATTTGGCAATTTATCAATAAACTCTTCAATTCCCAGTTTTTTGGCAATATTTTCTAATTTTTCTTGATGAATATTTTCCTGATAAGTATCTGGATAAACTATATTATCACCTAAGCTAGTATTAAAAAAGAAAGGATTATTAGGTAAATAAATAATTTTTTCTCGCAAGGCCGAGTTGTCAATTTTTTCCAACTTGGCGTTGCCTAGTTTAATAACTCCTTGCTGCGGTTGATAGAGTTTAATAATTAACTTAAATAAGGTGCTTTTTCCTATTCCGTTTGGTCCAATAATCGCATATTTTTTGCCTTGTTGAAAAGTGAAAGAAAAATTATCTAGTATCTTTTTTTTAGCTTCGGGATAAGCAAATTCGACAGTTTGGAAAGAAATATTTGGTTTTTTGGGAGGCAAAAGATAAGTTTTAGGAGCAGAATAAGTTTCCTTTTCCAGAATAGCAAAACCATTATTTAACTGTTTTAAACTGGAACAATAACCATCATAGCCGCCTTTAGCTCATAATTCTTCAAAAAACTTTTTTCAGTCGCCAAAAAGAATATTTAATTTGGTATATAACAGGAAAATACTAAGTGTTCCCCGTGTGTCAGCAATTAAAAGAAAAGGAAGCGGGAGTGCTTTAACCAGTAAATAGTTGGGAATGGTAGCAAAAACAGATTTGCTGGCAACCAAAGGAAAGATTTTTTTCAGATTTTTGGTTACTAAATTATTATTTTTCTCAATTTCTTTTTTTTCTGTTCCGGTAGTTTTAATATATTCAATGTTCGTTTTTAGTTCCTCAAAATGACTATTTTCTCGTTGAATATCCTTAACTCGGCGAAAACGTGGACGATAAGCCCACTGGTAAAGAATTAATCCAACCATGGTTAGAATTAACAAGGCTGCTAACAATCAAGGTATAACTCATTTATCTTCACTTTTGCTAAGTCTTCAAAAAATAAGGCCAATTGACACCGCGGCGTAGAAACAACGATTAAAAATCTGAGCGGCTTTGGTTCCAGCATTAATGGCTTCATTTTCATAATTAGTAAGGATAAAACGTGCCTTTTGAGTTTGCGAGAAATTAGCACTGAGATACTTCTGAGCTAACTTTTTTCGTAAATGGGAACTGTAAACTTCAACCAGCCAAATTTCCATGGCAATATGGAGCAGAACAACAACTCCATAAAAAATCAATAATCGAATAATTATTTCTCCAAAATTACCTTTAATTTGACCAACATTAACATTTTTTTCTTTATCATTAATGAATTTGGTTACGTTTGTTAGGATTTTGTCGCCACTATAAGCACTAAGAAATCCAGTTAAATAGTGAAGGAAGGTTAGAAAAGGGAACTGGCGAACTAGGTAAAGATAATTAATTTTGGTTTTTCTTTTCTGGGTTGAACTTGATTGATTATTTGGCATATTTTTCTCAATTTTTTATTTTTTCTCAATAAAATTGGTAAGGCTGTTGTTTTTCGTTATTTTCCGAAGAATTATAATCCGTAAACTTAATGTCTAATATTTTCCCCGCCTCTTTAATTTTCATTTCCCCTCAGTATTTATTGGCTTGAAAAAAATAACCTTTTCAGTGTTGCTTTCCTTTTGGCAAATTAGCATAAAAAATATTTCCCTCAGCAATTTTTTGACAATTTTCTAATATCAAATTAGTTTCCTCAAATACTTCTCTTTTAGCTGCTTCCTCGGGGCTTTCATTGGGTTCTATTTTGCCACCGGGGAAATTTCAACCCCACTTATCCTTCACCAGCAAAAATTCTTCTTTTTCATTTTGAATAATTACTCGCACGGATTTTGGTAAATCAGCTTCATTTTTAGGAGAATGATTTTGCTTAATTATATCCTGGACTTCGGTTAATATTTCCTCCGCACTTTTTTCAGCATCCACCAGATAAATTCTTTCTGGAAAAAATTTTTTTAGTTCTAAATAATAATTCCGTATTTGCCCATGAAATTTTAAGTCCAATTTATCCCAATTGCTATATTCGCCAGTTTCCTTTTGTCTTTTTTTTAATCTGGCTTGGGCTTGCTGGGGGTCAATATCCAAAATAAAAGTAAGGTCAGGGAAGGGTAAATTGATTGTTTTTTTCGCAATTTTTTGGATGACATTAATTCCTAATCCTCCCGCTAATCCTTGATAAACAAAAGTACTATCAATATATCGATCAATAATCATCACTTTATTTGCTTGTAAATTGGGTTCAATTTTTTTTTTCACTAGTTCATCAAAGGCTACCAAAATAAGAAAAATATAACTTCAATTACTTAGTAAATCGCTTTTTCCTGCCCCGCGGGCTTCATTAAGTAAATGTCAAATCTTTTGCCCTAATTCGGTATCTCGTCAATTATGAGTTACTAGATTCAATTCACCACTTTTTTTGAGATTGTTAATGAGAGTAGTTTTACCACTACCATCTATTCCTTCCAAAGTGATTAGTAATGACATATAAATTAATTTTAGGGAGGGAAGAAAAAAATACTTTTTTGGTTAAAAATAGAGACAATGAAGGAGGAAGTTAATATTCGCTTATTTTTTTAGTTTTTTTGTTATGAGTAAAGGGGAGAGAATGACAACTTTTTTGTCAAGGTTAAACATTACAAAACTAAGACATAATAACACATTAATTTGTCTTTTCTAATCTAAAAAAAATATCCCCTCTTGGGAGCAGACATTATATAATAAAAATAAATTAAGGAGACAGGAAGTGAGTGATGATAGAAAGAGATAAATCGTCTCTCTCTCTCTCTCTCTCTGTAATATAGATACTTGAACACTAAAAATTATGTCAGAAAAAAATTATTATGAAATACTTGGAGTTAGCCCCGGTGCTACTCAAAAAGAATTAACAAAAGCTTACCGGAAATTAGCCTTAAAACATCACCCAGATAAAGGAGGAGATGAAGAAGAGTTTAAGAAAATTAGCAATGCTTATGAAGTTTTAATGGGAGAAGCAGAGCGACGCCAAGGAACAGCAGGAATGAAATTTCAATTTTCCAACAAACCTGGTTCAGATAAATTTAAGGAATTTGAAGAAATGTTGAAAGAGGTAGAAAGAAAACTTAATAAGATAGAAAAAGACCTTGATGGGTATGAAGAAAGCCTTAATCGGGAGCAAGAAAGGGTTTGAAGTGAAGCTATACGAAATATTGAAGAAAATCTGACCTTATCTAATGTATCTATTTCTGAGTTGGATTCTAGTTTGTGGTCTCCTTATGGTGATTGGAAAGAAAAAGTTAGAAACTCTGTTAGCAGTAATTTAGATGTTTTTTTAGGTGATATGAGAATTGCTATTAATAAAGTAAAGTGAGAGAAAATTAATAGTAATAATTCATCACAAAATTACAACGACCAAAAGGGAAAATATAATGGCGAACAACCCCAAGATTATTCAAATAGAAAATTTCCTCAGAATAATAAAAATGGATGAAGTGGTGAAGGGAAATATACTCCTGAATATATAAAAGAAATAGAAGAGAAAATTAAGTATTATAAGGAATGTTTACTGAAAACTTCTGACGAAAGAGAAAAACAAAAATACCAAGAAATGATGAGTAATCTGAAAAAAGAGTTGGCGTTGATATTAAAAAATCAATCAAATAATCACGACCAAGGCAACCAAAATCAAGACCAGCCTCCTAAAAAATCTGAACCAACTTCGGAACAGGTTAAAAGTGCCAAAGATAAGTTAGAAGAAGCCACCAAGAGCAATAATAAAGAAGAGATAAAAAATGCTCTTAACGAAGCCAGCGAGACGGTAAAAAATAGTTCTGACCCCGATTTGAAAAAAAAGAAAGAACAAGTCGAAGACAATTTAGGCAAAGTTGACCCAGAAGAGTTAAGAAAAATAATTAAGACCGAAGTAGAAAATGAATTAAAAAAATTCGGAATAAAAGCGGTTGATTTAAGTCCGGAAAACAAGCAAAAATTGGACGAATTAAATAATAATGATATTGAACCTGCTAAAACCAAAAAGATAAGAACCGAAGTATTAACCGACGCCGCAATAAAAGTACTGGTTAAATTAATTGCCGAAGTCAAGCAAGCCCTAAAACAAGATGATAAAAAGAAAACTGAAAGTAAATGTAAGGAATTACAGCAATTTACCCAAAATAATTCGGAATACTTTCAAAATGATTATAACCAAAAAAAAGTTGAAGTTCAGCAATTACTGGAAAAAGCCAAAATTCAGTTTACTCAAAATAATCCCCCTGGTAAATTTCCGACTGGTTGAGTGGTTGGTAGTGGAATATTATTAGTGTTAGGATTAGTGGCAATATTGATTATCAAAAAGAAAAGAAATAAAAGTGGGAAGTATTAAGGTTTAGACTTGTTTGGTTAAAAAATGGGAATGAAGGGACTAATAATTACCTATTTTTTTTAGATTCAACTTAGTTTTCCTAAAAAAAACAATTATTATTCTAATTCAATGGTTTATTAGTGATAAAATTTTTCTCTAATTCTAAGTTTTTGGTTAAATTAGCAAAAAGAAAAAAAAAATAATGTTTAGATTTGGTTTTGGTATATTTTTATCGATTTGTTAAAGATTTTGACAATTTTTAAATATCTAATAAATACTTATGTAGGGGAGTTTCCTCCCCTATTTTTTAGTTAACTAACTTTCTTCAAAAGCACATTTGCCAGTCTTAAAAAGTAAAGGCTTCTGTCCCTATTTACAAACTAATCGCCTTTTCTAAATTAATTATTTTTTTGGTAAAAGAGGAGTTAGTTCATTGTGAACAATAACTGCTTGCAATTCCTCCTCTTGATTATTATTTTTTGAGGAACCAACTGTTATTTGCCCTGGTTTAATAACTTGAGAAGAATCAGTTTTTGCTTCGAGATCTTTTATTACTTTTTTTAAATCATTTTTAACTTCTTCAACTTCTATTTTCAATTTCTCAAATTTTTTATTTACTTCTTTTTGCTCAGCGTCAGAACTTATACTCTTTTGCAAATCATTAACTAATTCTAAGAAATTTGAAATTGTTTCATCCATCCTTTTTGGAAGAACCAAACTTTTATTAAAATTATTGTAAATTTTCTTCAATTCTTGACAAGTTCCTTCCAACTTAACTAATTCTTCCTGCTTTTGCTTGTCTGAGTTTTCTATTTCAGAAACGATTGAGTCAACTGTTGAAGCAACTAAAGTTAACCCACCACCAATCTCACCATAACCAATAGTAGATAATCCACCACCTACATAATTGACTCCTCTACTTATTGTGCCCAAATCAGAGGCATTGATCTTAATTTTGCTCATTACTAACCTAGGAGTTAATTTATCCAACCGATCTTCTTTATTTTGGTAGTTTTCTAAACGTTTAAACGAATTTTCTAAATCATCAAGGATAGTTTCTAATCGTTCAGTTGGGGCGCTTTCTTTTTCTTTTTTCTGCTTTTCTTCGATTTGTTTAGCCATTTTGTCAATTTCTTTTTGTTTAGCATCTAACTCATTTTCACTTTTGGCTAATTTTTCTTCAGTATCCCTTAACTGCCTTTTAATTTCGTTTATTTCTTTATCACTGTTCTGTTCTTTTAATTGGTCTTCTAATTTTCTTCTATTTTCTTCCAAAGCAGATTTTTGGACTAAAATTGCATTATTTTCTCTCAAAAGTTGATTTTGTTCTTTTTCATTGGCAAAATTATTTTCTGCAATAGCTCTTTGCTCTTGCTCACTAGTTAGTTCTTGTTCTAGGTTATTAATAGCTTTCTTGGCAGTGATCAAATCTTGCTGAATCAGTTTTTTCTCAGCAATTACTCGGTCTTTACTCTTTTGGAGACTATCAAGTTTGGCTTCTAGTTCACTGTAAGATTTGGCTAATTGTTCCTCCCTTGCTTCATAATCTCTTTTCAATTCGTCATAATTGGATTCTGATGTTTTTAGATTTTTCGCGTCTCCGACTAAATCTAATCCCGTCACAAAAATATCTATTTCAACTTCATCATTAAGTCATTCTTTTAATTCAATTGTCTCATCCTGTAAATAAACAACTTTCACCGGATATTCATCTTTAATTATTTCTTGTAAAAACTCAAGAGCACCTTTGCTTCAAAACAAGTCATTCTTATCATTTCTGCCAAAGATTTTTCAACTATTTTTAAGGATTGCACTTATATCGCTTCAACTGCTGATTATTTCATCATTTATTGTTAAGTCTTTTATTTTTTTTTCCTTTTTCCCCCCTTCTGTGTTTAATTGAAGAGATTTCTCGCCATCGACGTATTTTTTAAACTTTTCTAAAATCTCCTTACTCACAAACTTTTTGCTGTTATTGTCGATTAAATTGTTACTTGATGCAATTCCATTCATTAAGGTTGGTTTTCACCAACTAGTAATTTTAATTTTTTTTCAGTTATTAGGGTCTATGCTTCTTATAGATTTTATATGTTCGCCACTTTCTTTTTTTATTAGCACCAGTTCTTCCCCCCGATTATAAATTATTCTATTGAGGTCTTTGATGTTAACTATTGTTCAATAATTAGTTAAATCGTGTTTACCCTTGTCTTTACTAAAATTCTTTAGTTCGCTATTAAATTTTTTGGATTTATTTTCTGGGGTCCCATAACCTTTTCACAAATCCCCATAACATCAAAGAGTCATTAAGCTTCGAGGTAAGTGTTCAAAACCTGAATCTACGTTCGTTCAACCAATTTCTAACTCCTCTAACTTGTTCATGTTTTTTAAAGGTTCGAGGGAACCAAAAAAACGGTTATAAGTATTTTTCTTGGTTTCACGATGGTAATTACCAATTCATAGTTTTTCTAAATTGGTTAATTTGCTGAAAGTAGATAAATCTTGTTCGGAGAAATTATTATCTGATAAATAGCATTCTCTTAGTTTTTCCGGATTTTCCAAAGCAGCAATATCTTCTAAATTAGTAAGTCGATTATGTCGAGCATCTAAGTAATAAAGGTTTTTTAAGCCAGTAAGTTTTAAACTAGTAAGTTCGTTATTAGAACAATTTAATCATTCCAAATTAATAAAATCACTTAAATCCAAATCACCTTCAAGGCATGATTTTATAGCAATTCCGGGAATTGTGTTGATTTTTAATTCTGTTATTTTTTCCCTTTCTTCTTTGGGATAATTTGTATTTAAATATTCTTGGGCATTTACCATATTTTTTGTATTTTTTTTTTTTTTTGTTTTCTTAATTTACATACACTACTCTGACAATTAAGCCAATTTATAACAAATTAGGTAGCGGCTGATTTTTAGAATTATGCTAATTTGCTATCTTTTTGTTTTCTGACCATAGGCAATTATTTTGATTACTAAATGTAATATTTAATGCTATATAAATAATTTTAAAGTTGAACATTCTAAACTAATTAAAATCTCTTTTTGCCAAAATATTTTCTAACCTTTCTAATTCTTCTTTTTGTCTAATACCTAATCTCTTTTTGGATTTTAAATCTTTTATTTTCCTTTTAATGCTTTTCTTGCTTTCTAAACTTTTACCGCTTCATAAATGATAAACCACTAAGGCATCTAATTGGTGTAAACTAATTTTTTGTCGCTGATATTTTCAACCTTTGCCCCGTCCGGCTTGACAAGTGAGATTTTCTATTTGTTCCTGACCACGAAAAAGTTTGTCCTTAAAAGGTTTGACTTGATTAACCGCAATACTGTTTACCTCTTGAATAAAATTAAAAACATATTTTAAAGCCACAATACCACCAATTAATTTGTATAATCCGACGGTTCCTTGGTGCTGACGACCATAAATATAGGTGGTAGTTTCATAAATAATGACATCGGGCTTTCACTCTGCTACAACCTTGATAATAAAGCTCAAGTGCTCTTCTCAATTTTTACTTTTGTATTCAGAAAACTCATGTTTTGATTTGCCAGCAACCTGAAAAAAAAATACTCCGGTAGTGCCAGTTCCAGACGGGTCAAGACATAAATATTTCATAATCTTTTTTTTACTTTTTATCATTAAGATTATTATTAGTTATTTGAGCAAAGTGAAGAAAAGGAATAACAATGAAACCAAAAAATATTAATATGGAAAACAATTGAGAAGTCATTAAAGAAAAAAAAACCCAACTTCTAGAAAAAGAGTTAACAATTTTTATTGGTAAATTAGAGAGAATTCGCAGTAATCGGATTTCCTTAGAGGCAATTAGAGGATTAATGGTAAATTATCAGAACGAACGAAAACCTTTGAAAGCAATAGCCAATTTGAGGATTTCCCCTAATCATGAATTAATTGCCCGAGCCTTTGAAGTAAAAATGACGCCTTTAATTAGCAAAACGATTTTAGATAACCAGTTAGGATATAAAGTTGAAAGAAGCACCAAAGAAGAAGTTTATTTCACCCTCACCCCTATTACTACCCAAATCAAAGAAAAATTGATTAAGGAAGTGAAATTAATCACCGAAGAAGGCAAAAAAAATTTTCGTCTTATTCACCAAGAACTAAAAAACTGATTAAAAAAAGAACCCCATCTCTCCCAAGACCAAAAGAAAACTTATGAAAAGCAGGCCGATAAATTAGTGAAAGATTATCAAGATAAATTGCTGGTCGCGGAGGAGAAAAAAATCAAAGAATTAAGTTCCTAAGTGCTATGGAAAAAATCAATCAAATGAAAATTTTTGCTTGACAACATCTGATATTGAATAATAATTACGAGGCAGTGAAGAAAGGAAAGTTATAATGCCATTGCAATATCTATTCTGATAATATTTGGGGTAAAAAATATTATTAAGATAGATTTATCATGCTTTTAAATAATAAAATCCAACTCTGTTATGTCAAGGTGAAAGATTTATGAAAATGGATTGAGGAAAATAATTTACTCAACCAGAATTTTGCTTCTGAAAAGGAAAAATGAGCAAAAAAAGTTAACCAAAAACCTAATTTTTTTTCGGATACCGAACTAATAGTAATTTATCAAGATACTCTTATTTTAAAAGCACTTACCGATAATCAAGTTGCTTTTTTAGCCAAAACTTACCAGTTAGAGTATCAGACTATTTGTCAAGAACTTTTTCAAGTCAAGAAAAATATTGTGCTGGTCAGTGAGCAACAATGAAAAATAGACAAAGCTATTTTACCTGAGGAATTAAAAGCGATAGTTTTGCTTAAAGATAAAGAGAATATTGAAAAAAGCTTAGTAAATTGATTAGAAGGAGCAACTATTTAGAAACTGTTAAATTAAATTTATTTTTGTCAATTTTTTTCCTTTAATCATTTTTTTCTCCAAATTAAAACACTAGTTATCATTAATCCCAGTAAACTAATTATTAGTAACGGAACTAGTGCTTTTTTCCAGAAAGGACTTTGAGTGTTATCTTGCGATTTTTCTCCCCGTAATTGTGCCAACAATTCGTCTACCTCATGCTTTTGTTTTTCATAAGTCTTGCTTTGGTACTTATTCTTAATGATAAATTGTAATATCTCGGTTATTATCTTGTCTTTTTCCTTTTTATTTAGATTACCTTTTTTGAGTTTCGTTCAAGTTTCGGTTAAAAGGTTGTTTAAATTATTATTGGCTCCGTTTTGGGCGATTTTTTCTTTGGCAATAGCCACCTTTTCAGTAGTTGGGTCTTGCTTAGCCTCAGCCAGTTCTTGTTTAGTTTCATCATCCATGTTGCTCTCAGTTAGTCCGTTATTTTTTACTTGTTCGTCAAGTGATTTCTTGATTGTTTCTTTAAACTTTTTCGGGTCAAGTTCTTGTAAGTGATTTTCTACTGCTTGAATTTCTAATTTTTTTTCTTGATAAGCATCCGAAGAGAATAATTTTTGGATTTGTTTCAGAATTGCTTCTAGTTTTTCATAGTTGTTTCAATTCTCGGTTTGGTGGGCTTGGGCGAGAAGTTCAGTCAGGCGGCTTTTTTCTTCCTTGACTGCTCTTTTATTGCGAATGTCGGCTAAAACTTGGTCGCGAACCTTGTTAATCGCGGTTTCAGTTTGGGCTTGGGCAATGTCTACTTTTCAATTCTGATTAGTTAGTTCGCTTTCGGCAATGGAGGGTTGTTTTTCTAGTTCAGCCTGAATTTGATTAATTGCTTCCTGCCGTAAATTATCCAGATTTTGGTTCTTGTCAGAACCTCCCCCACCTCCTTTGGATTTGGCTTGACGTTTCTGTTTAATATCTGCCATAACCTTATCTTTAATTTGCTTAATTTGGTCTTCGCTAGTGGCATTTTGAATGGCATCTCCTCAATTTTGGTTGCTAGTATCTAATTCCGAAGTTGCAACTGCTGGCTCTTTTAATAGTTCGCTATCAATTTCTGCGATAGCCTTGTTTTTGGGAGTTTGAAGGGGGTCAGGAGGATTGCCCTTTTTGCCGATAGCTGTTAATACTTCCGCTTTAATGGCGGGAAACCGGTCTGGAGTAGCTCCCTTAACTTGATTAACAAAACTATCTTGTTCGGTGCTTGAAAGTAAACTTCAACCGTCTAAGGAATGTAATTCTTGAATAAAATCTTGGCGTTGGTTGTCAATATCAGGCTCAGGATTTAAACCGGATTCCTGAAAATTCTTTTAGGCTTCATCTAAATGTTTTTGTGAACAAAAATAAGCGTCGGGGAATTTTGTTTTGGATTTTACTCATTTTGTTTTATTTTTTTCTTTTTGAACTATACCGCATTTCTGACAACGAACCGGACTTCTTCCTTGTTTTTTTAAGTATTCAAATAGGCAATATTCCGAGTGGCAATAACCCTCTTTAGAAGTCTCACTATATCGCACTCACCAATCACCGAATGGTTTGTCATTATTACAACCGGCACAAACTCGGTGTGGTCCTTTTGGCTTTTTAGGAGGGGGATTTTTAGGGGGAGGAGGTTGATTTTTGAGATTGCCCTCTTCATCATAGTTGAAAGTGTCAGGAGTATAACCATTCTTTGTATTTCAAGTTTTAGAACAATCAGCCGAACAAAAAAAACGCAAACTTGATTTGCTACGCGGAAAACCACCTTTTTTGTTAACATCATTACGGGGACAATTAGGACATTCAAAATTTTCCTTTTTGTTTCACGCATTATAGATTACCCGTTTGTTTTCATCACTTAAGACTTCATAGGCATTTTTGGCCTCTTGAAAACGAATTGTGTCTTCGCGGGTAACTTCTCTTCCAGAGCCTCTAACTTTGTCTTCATGAAATGCACGAGATAATGTAAAATATCTTTTCCTAATATCTGCTGCACTAGAGTTTTAATATTTCGTAAAGATCGATTTCTAAAGAGTATTGAGACATAATTATTTTTCTCCTTCCCCAGTTTTTAACTGGCTGCTACTGTTTTTTTTTTTTTTTGCTTAGCATGGTAATTGTTATATATTAATTTAATTTTATTTATTTATATAAATTGACTATCCTTTTGGTGGATCTTGAAGGACTTGAACCTTCAACCACCCGGTTATGAGCCGGGAGCTCTAACCAATTGAGCTAAAGATCCTTTTATTAATAATTTTTAGCTTAAATATTTGATATGGACGGTATACTACTCATTGATAAGCCTACCGGGATTACCTCGCATAAAGTTATTGAAATTATTCGGCGGAAACTAAGTATCAAAAAGGTTGGGCATGCTGGAACCTTAGACCCCTTGGCCACTGGCTTGTTGGTAATTATGGTAGGTCAAGCCACTAAATTAAGTAATTCATTGATTAGTCAATTCAAAACTTATGAAGTCGAAATGAAATTGTATGTTGAAACCGATACTGGTGATATCACCGGAAAGTTAACCAAAAGCGAAAAAGTGCGAGTATTGGAAAAAAAACTGGTTCAAGTAGTTATTGATTCTTTTAATGATTATGAATATTGACAACATCCTCCTATTTACTCAGCCATAAAAATAAAAGGACGAAAGTTATACGAGTATGCACGCAAAAATATTCCGGTAGAAATTCCTCCGCGACTAGTGAAAATAAGAGTAATAAAATTGTTAAATTATTCTCCCGCAGCCGAAAAGATAAACTTTTTGGTTGAGTGTAGCAAAGGAACCTATGTTCGTAGTTTGATCAAGGACATAGCAGAAAAGTTGCAAACAGTGGCGACAATGAACCAATTAAGAAGAATTAGTTGCGGAGATTTTCACATCCAGCAAGCAATAAAACTAGAAGAGGTCAAGGAAGAAAAAATAATTAATCAAAGTAAAATTAGGCTTGTGGACTAGTAAATCTTGCTACTTTAAAGTTTCTTTGTCGGGCAATGGCTAATAATTGACTTTTTTCCTTTGAAGAATTAACAAAAGTTATGGCTTTTCCACTAGCTCCGGCTCGTCCGGTCCGTCCGGTTCGATGAATATAAAACTCACGGTTTTGCGGAAAGTCGTAATTAATAACATAGGAAATATCCTTAATGTCTAAGCCCCGCGCGGCCACATCAGTAGCAATTAATAAAGAAATTTTCTTAGCCCGAAATTTTTGAAAAACTATTGTTCTTCGGTTTTGTGACAAATCACTATGAATATAATCAACTCGCAAACGATTATCCAACAAACTATTTTTTATTTCTTCGACCTTTCTTTTGGTATTAGCAAAAACAATTACTGAGCCTAGTTGGCTCGATGAAAGAAAATCAATTAAATTATGGGTTTTTTGTCGAGAGGAATTTACTTCTAAATAGTAATGTTCAGTATTGCTGGGCAAGTCATCATTTTTGCTAGTAATAAGGGCCGGGTTTTTGGCAAATTTTCGGGCAAATCTCTCTACTTCCGGAGAAATAGTAGCCGAAAAAAGTAAAGTTTGGCGTTTTTCTGGAACCTTTTTTATTATTTTTTCAATTTCCTTTAAAAATCCTTTGCCAATCATTTCGTCAACTTCGTCCAAAACCACAAATTTTAAATGGTCTAAATGAAAACTTTTTCGAGTAAAAATATGGTCAATAATTCGTCCTGGGGTGCCTATTATGACATCAACTCCCCGCCGAAAGGCTTGTAATTGTTTGTAAATTGGTTCCCCACCATAAACTGCCGCTACTTGCAAATTACTATGTGGGGATAACTTTCGGGCTTCTTCGCTCACTTGTAAAGCTAATTCCCGCGTGGGAACTAAAATCAGCACTTGTGGTTTAGAAATTACTTCTAATTTTTCCAAAATTGGAATAATAAAAGCAGCGGTTTTGCCGGTTCCGGTTTGGGATTGAGCAATCAGGTCTTTTCCTTCTAATACCAGCGGAATGGTTTGTAATTGAATATTGGTTAATTGGTTATAGCCTGCTCGTTGCAGGTTTTTTTTGGTCTTTTCAGATAATGATATATTTTCTAAATTCATTTATAGTTATAATTATTTTTATTAATTTTTGCGTCATGAGAAGTTAAATTAAATTATACGGAGATATACCCAAGAGGCTGAAGGGGGCAGTTTCGAAAACTGTTAGGGAGTTAAATCCGCGGGGGTTCAAATCCCTCTATCTCCGCCAAAGAGTTAAAAGTGTCAAAAAAGATAAAGGTAATTTTAAGTAAATCATAAAAATTCAAAAAAAATATTATATGGTAGAAAAAAATAATTCGGTCGCTGCTATCCAACAAAAAATTTTTATCGAAAAAGTTTTGAAAACTCGTGAGATAAACCCCAAACAACGGGTGAATTATCCGAAACAGTTGCCGTGTGTTAACTGCAAGCAATTGATAAGGTATACTAGTTCGACCGGTAGTTATTACCGCGATGAAATTACTGGTAAATTCAAAGAGACGATGAAAATAGTGTGAGATACCAGTAAGTTGTTCATCTGCGTTCCTTGTGCGAGAGCCAACGGGTTTCCCAATGCCCAAGAACACCGACGGGATAATCCAAACTTTTGTGCTTGGTATCCTCAATCGGAATTATTTCACCGCCAAGTTCTTAATGAGTTTAAAAAATGTATAATTACCGGAGTTGGCAAAAAAAGTAAGAATTTACATGCTTGCCATATTAAACCTCGGGGAAAATGTGATAATGATGTTGAAAAATTAGATAAAAATAATGGATTATTGCTTACTCCCAAATTTCATAAACTCTTTGATAATGGGCTGTTTAGTTTCAGTGATGAAGGAAGAATAAAATTTTCTAATCAGTTGTCAGAAGCAGATAGAAAATGATTTGACCCTGAAAAGGCTTATATCGAAAATACAAGCATGAACGAAACGAGGAAAGAATATTTAAAATTTCATAGAGAAAAAATATTTGTAAAATAAAAATATTTATGCTAATTGTATTTATTGGTATTCCTGGCTCCGGAAAATCGAGCACGGTTAAAGAGTTAGCAAATTTATTAAAAGATGATTATGATATAAAACATTTTGCTGAACCCGAAGAAGAAAAATGAGCCGATGCGGCCAAAGATTGGAAAACTTATGGCAGTTTTCCGATGCTGATGTGATTTCGCTCCATCCGAGTTCCCATGCTATTAGAGGCTCAGGAATTAAGTGAAAAAGGAAAGACGGTTCTTATTGATACTTATTATGATAAGTTATTATATTATTACATTGATAAGTATTGTATGCGTTGGTTAATTTCGCCTTCGGACCGCTATTTTTCGGTTATGAAGCAAATTGCGGAAATTGATAAAGACATTCTGCCTGATGCTGATATTGCGGTTTTTTTTGAAATTAATTATGACGATTGGTTAGAACTCTTAAAGGTCCGAGATCGTTCTACGGACCACGACGAAGCTTTTATGAAAAACTTTGAAACCCAAAAATTTCTCTTGGAAGCGACCAAAAAATTATGCGAAGAAAAAGGAATTGAGTTAATCATTTTTCAGCAAGATAATTCTTCCGTGCAAAGCACCGCCCTAAAGCTAAAAAGTTTGTTGGCGGACAAATTAACTAAAAAATAAATTAACTTAGAGAAGCAAATTATACTTTCGGAAAGTGGCCTAGCGGTAAGGCACCTGGTTTGGGACCAGGGGATCGTGAGTTCAAATCTCGCCTTTCCGACCATTTTTAATTTAATTTTAACAAGAACAATAAAATTAAAATATAATATATAATAAATACCATGTCAGCAAAAAAAACAGTAAATATCAAACTCAACCAGCCATTTTTAAAAAACTCATCAGCAATTCCAGTCCTTACCAAGAAGAATTTTAAAATAGAAATTTTGTAAAATTATGGTAAATTGGAAAGATTTTAAAAATTGGTTGGAGAAAAATATAATCGAACAAGAAGAGGAAGTAGTTAAATTAAGATTGGAAAAGCAAATAATCTATACTAATTTAACTTCTAATGCTTTGAACAGATTTATGGATAGTCTAGAAGCCACCTTGGATAATGATGACACTTGTCATCTTTTCCCTGACTATTTTCCTCATAAAAGTTTTGAGAATTTGTTTAATCCTTCTGCTTGTTATTTTGGTAAGAAAACCAATAAAAAACGAATTGGTACCGAAAGTTATCAAGATTTAAAAAAATTATTCTTAGACTGAAAAAATGACGTTGAAATAATTGCAAAGCTTAATGAGGACATAGACAAGTTAGCGATAGAAAATAAAGATTTGCAAGAGAAAATTGCTAATCACAAAAAGGAGAAAGGTGAATTAGTAATACAAAAATGTAATGAAGTGTCTATTTTAGAAGATGAAATTAATGATTTAAGGGCTGAAATCAACCAACTAAAATTTTCTTTGTCTACTAAAAATGAAGAAATTGTTTGACTACAAGTGCAGTTAAAAAAAAGCTTCGGTGAGGAAAAATATAAAAATCAGGTAGAAATTAACTATCCACTAAGATTTAAATAATAAAATTATGGCAGGTTTGATAACACAAAACACATAAAATTAGACACTTTGCTTAATAATGAGGAAGTGGTTAGAAAATTTTTACAGTAAGAACGATATCAAGTTCTAAATAATATAACAATATGGCAAACCCAATTTCTTGTAGTTCTTTTATGTGTCACCCAAAAAAGACTTTTGTGGATAAGAACGATAAAGCTAAACTTATCGTCAATCGAGATGAACTTTCTAAATATCATTTATTAGTTTATCCATTAAAGCACAGTGAAAATTTTTCTGATTTGGGAAAAGATGATTGAGAAAAAGGAATAATTCCGCTTTTAAAAAAGGCTGCTTGTCTGCTTAGCAAAGTGAACGGAGTAAAAGGGTTTAGTATTAATCATAATGCTGGAACAAATAATGCTACCGAACCCCACACTCATTTTCATATTGTTCCCAGTTATGAAGATGGTAGGGGTTTTTCCTGTAAAATCCAGGGAGAACATCCGAGCGATTGAGGCCATAAAGATTACCATTTTTTTGGTGATAAAAGTCTTATTTACAATAACTTTGATGATATTTTTGATAGTTGGAAAAATTACTTTGATGATATTCAAAAATTAACTAAATCTATAAAAAATTTTAATCTTTTTGCTCGCGTTGGGAAAGTAGATGGTGGAAGTCATTGATACAGCCACTTACATTTTATTCCCGAAGGTAGCAAATACCAATGAATAGAAACAAGAAGCAAGCGAAGACAACTTAGTGAGATTGAAATGGGTAAAATAGCCCAAGAATTAAAAAAAGGCTCTGTTCCAAATCCTAATAACCCACCTAATCCAAACGATTCCAAAGGAGGAGAAAAAAATGCTAATGGTATTGCTGATGCTAAATTTCTTCAAGATGTAGCCAAACTTACTAACTATTCGGATGATTTAGGCGAATACGCTTCGTTTAATAAGAAAATTTTGGATTTATACCATAATAAGAAATTTACCGAAATCGAAATTTACCGTAATAAAATGATAAAGTATATTGTAGAAAAAAAATCTGCTTCATCCAGTCCGGCCGAAACTGACAAATTAAAAAAGAAAATCTGAGAAAGGTTTGAAAGTGATAATACTTTATTAAAAACCCAAGTTGATGAGTTGAAAAAAATTTTAGTAATAAAAAATGATGAGCCGACTGATAATTCCAATAAAAATAATGATACCTCGGACCCAAAAAAGGATAGTCCGCCGAATGATAACCAACCGAACCCGAATAAACCAGATAGTTCTCCGCTCGAATTACCTACTATTGATACCAAAAAAATAACTAATGCGGAAAATATTGAAACCGCCCAACTTAGTGCTAAACAACAAATTAAAGCATTATTCAGCAAAAGTAAAATTAAACCAAGTGATTTAGACAAATCATTATGAGATAATAAAGAAAACTGAGAAACCTATTTACAAGGACTAACAACTAACCAAGCGATAGTTGCATTTTCCCAACTACTGGAACGAAAAATTAAAGAAAAACAACAAGCTATTAAAAACAAAAATAATATTAATTCGTCCGCTAAACCTAATTCCGTAAATAAAGCATTACTTTTTTCTTTGGGTGGCGGTGCTATATTACTAGTATTTATCGGTCTGCTGGTTATTAAAATGCGACGTAACAAGAGAAAAAAAACAATTTAATCCGCACGGAAAGTTTCTTTTTTTCCTTATAATTTACTATATGGCGTAAGGGTCCATAGCTCAGTTGGTAGAGCATCTGTTTTGCACACAGAAGGCGGTCGGTTCGAAACCGACTGGATCCACCAGTATTTATTTGTAAGAAAAACAAACAAGAAAGCTTGACCCGATTAGGGCAAGGACAGGAACAAAAAGAGTTAAAATATAACAACTTGAATAAAAACCTATATATAAAATATAATAATGATGACCAAGCATGATAAAAAGTTGCAAAGGAAAGGCCAAAAATGATTAGTTTCCTAATCCCAATTACTCCTGATTATTTTTGACCGAAAAAGTGAATGGGAGCAGTTATTAGTCTGTCAAAAAACTAGTGCCAAGCTATTGAGGCAAGAAATAGCAAAAAAATAATTGAAAGTGTAATAAAAATATGAATAACATTAACAACATATTCAATAAAAACGAAATAGAAAATAAGTTAAAAGATTTTAAAGAAGGCAAAGATTATTCAGTAGCCCGAGAAGGCAAAAAATTAATTTACAATTTCCACAATAATTGATTAAGAGATGAGTTTGGTAGAAATTACACTACTGTTTATGAAGTAGCTGAAAACTGGGATAGCGATAATTTTAACCACCACCGCGAGGAAGGAAAATATATCAATAATGATAAAGGCACGGAAATTACTTATCGTTATGAGCACCGAATAAATAAGAATGCTGATTATTATGCGGAATGAAGTTGAGGCGAAAATTTCAAGGATGGTTCAAAGGCCACTTGAGCTCTGAGGAGAAGACCTAATCCAAAAAAAATAGAAAATGGTTTCGATGATGGATTTTTTCTACCCGGCAATTTCAAAAGTGATGAAGAATTAAAGCACCAGGAAAGGTTGAATGGAAGTCGTTTGCAAACCCTAGAAAGAGATAAAAAGGAATTTGAAGAAAAATTGACCCATTACGAAAGTTTGCCAGCAGAAGAGCGAAGGAATGAAGACACTCGTTCACTCCAAGACAAAATTAATTTTCTCAAAAGAGAGATTGAAGAAGAAAAAGATTGAATAAATCTCAATAAAGGACGAATGGGAAGAGATGAGGTTGGAAAATTAATAACTAATAAAGAGGATAACAATTCTGATTTACGAAAAGAAAACCAAGAATTGCGCCAACAATTAACGGCAGTCCAAAAACAATTGGCCGAAGTTTTGGAGGAATTGAAAAAGTTAAAGAATAATATCAATGGTAAAGGTAATGAAAAGTTAGAACAACAAATAGTCCAAAATGAGAGATTGATTAAAGATAGTGAAAATCTTTCCGTGGCTGAGGTTCAAGAGCAAGTTAATAAATCGCAAGCATTAATGAAAGAGTTTAATAATGTTTCCGCAACCGAAGATAATAAAGCTGGAAATGGTTCGTTTCCTTATGTAGTTGGTGGTTCAGTAATATTGGTTTCGGCGGGAATTATTGGCTATTTTCTGTTGCAAAAGAATCGAGGGAAAAAATCTGCTTAATATTGTGAAAAATTAGAGGAATTTGTTGATAAAGTGGGAGGGGATTTTCCTCCTCCTTTTTAGTTTTAGAGAGGCAAGATAACTAAAAAGGAATTCAATGTAAGAAAAACAAACAAGGGAAAATTATATTTCAATTAGTAAAAAGTTTAAAATAGTTTATATGGAATAAAATTGTTACAAGGTAATCAATTATTATTCTATATTAAAACAAATTGCCTATGGTCAAAACAAAAGAGAGATATCTAGTTAGAATAAATTTTTAAAAATCAATCGCTGCCTAATTAGATATAAGTGCTTAAAAGCAGAAGTAGTGATTGGGAAAATTTAAAGAAAATAATAACAAATAAATATGACAAAATCAAATGAATTAAGTCCAGAATTAGAATTAGATAATTTCTTGATAAAATATGTAAAAACAATAGAAAATAAAATTAACTGTTGTGATGAAAAGTTAAAATCAGGGGAAATCAACGAGAAACAAAAAACTGAACTCCAAAATAAAAAACAAGAATGAGAAAAGAAACTTGAGAAAGCACAATCGTATTTAGTTCAACTCAGAGTTCCTGAAAATCGTAACTTTTTTGAACTAGGTCAACCCAAAAAATACTGAGGTTCGACCGAAGGCTGAAAAGAACCAGTGTGCGAAAGATATAGTTTTAGATACGACAATGATAAAAAGTCAATCACACTGGATATTATTAAAGAGTTGCACGACCAATTGAAATTAAATCCAGAGGAGAATTTCTATGTGGTTGAAGAAGTATTAGAGCGGGAAGAAGTAGAAGGAGGTATCACTCTTAAAAATGAAGGTGAAATATTCTTAAAAAGTCATTTAATTGAAGAAGAGACTAATAAGGGAAAAATTATTGGAGTTGCCAGCGGAATTGGAACAGGAGCTGCTAGTGGAGCTGCAGCAGGTGCTGGTTTGATGTTTTTGGTTGCTCCATATACGTTTGGTTTTTCATTATCATTTATTCCAGCGGCTGCCACAATTGGAGCCGTTGCTGGAGGTTTAGGTGGAGGCACTACTGGTCTTATGGCTGGGCTTGCATTCGATAAGCTATCAAATTCAGAAAAAATTAGAATAAAAAGCGAAATAAAAAGTTTGCTGGAGGATTATAAAACTGTGATGGAGGAAAAATCTCGTGATTGTCAAGACATAATTAATAATGAGGTGTCTGGGTCGGGAGAAAAAGAAGAATCTCAAAAGCAAAAAGAAAATTATGATAATGAAGTTAGAGAAATAGTGGCTTACATAGAGAATAATAATAATTGAAAGTAAAATTTTCTCAGTAAAGATTGGGAGGGTGGTTCCCCCACTCTTTCCCAATTTCCCTATAAAATTATAATATATGAGTTAGTTGTTAGTCTCCTAATAAAAATAACAAAACATCAATAAAATATTTAATATACTTTTGAAAAATAAGTTGGTTGGTCTTTCCGCTTAATTTTGAGAGGTATATTTATTCTACTCTCTCTTTCTTTGAAAACTGAACGCAAAAAAGATTTTACCGAAATATAAGTTACTAAGAGTGTATGGTGGATAACTTGGGACTAATAGGCGACGAAGGACGCGATATCCTGCGATAAGTTTCGGGGAGCTGGAAATAGGCTATGATCCGGAAATTTCCGAATGGGACAACCCATTATCAGTAATGTGATAATATCTGAGTTTACATGATACTTAGAAGCAAACCCGGAGAACTGAAACATCTTAGTACCCGGAGGAAAAGAAAACAAATAGTAATTCCCGTAGTAGTGGCGAGCGAACTGGGAACAGCCCAAACCAATTATGTTTGTAGATTGGGGTTGTAGGAAAATGCATTAGGAGTTACAAAGGTTATTGATAGAAGAAGTGGCTGGAAAGTCACACCACAGAAGGTGAAAGTCCCGTATTCGAAATCAATAACTCTCCGCGTTTCATCCTGAGTACCACGAGACACGTGAAATCTTGTGGGAAGCAACGGGGGCCACCCCGTAAGGCTAAATACTAATTAGTCACCGATAGTGAACTAGTACCGTGAGGGAAAGTTGAAAAGAACCTCGGAAGAGGAGTGAAATAGAACTTGAAACCATAACACTTACAAAAAGTCAAAGGGCATTAAAGCCTAATGGCGTGCTTTTTGCAGAATGAGCCGGCGAGTTATTATTATTGGCAAGGTTAAGTTTCTTTGAAATGGAGCCGCAGCGAAAGCGAGTTTTAATAGAGCGCATAGTCAATGATTATAGACCCGAAACGAGGTGAGCTAACCATGAGCAGGCTGAAGTGAGGATAAAACCTCATGGAGGGCCGAACCGGTGTTCGTTGAAATGACCTCGGATGACTTGTGGTTAGAGCTGAAATTGCAATCGAACCTCGAGATAGCTGGTTCTCCCCGATATAGTTGTAGGACTAGCGCAAGAGTGAAGATAACGGGGGTAGAGCACTGAATAGAGAAGGGCCCTTAACCGGGTACCACCTCTAATTAAACTCCGAATACCGTTATTGTATTATCTTGTAGTCAGTCTATGGGGGATAAGCTCCATGGACGTGAGGGAAACAGCCCAGATTATCGGCTAAGGTCCCTAAATAGTATTAAGTGTAGAAGGAAGTTGTCAGACAAAAACAGCTAGGAGGTTGGCTTGAAAGCAGCCATCCTTTAAAGAGTGCGTCACAGCTCACTAGTCTAGTCTGGCAGTGCCGAGAATGTAAGGGGGCTCAAATACTATACCGAAGCCATAGGCTAGTTGGTAATAAAAAAATTATTAACAATAACATATAAAGTTAATTATGAAAAAAGATAATAAAAAACAATGCGAACACCAATGAGAAAAGATAAAAGAGTCCAGAAAGGGACAGGAAAATAATTCAATTTGTTTGAAATGTGGTGAGGAGACACGAATTATTTGATGTTATTAGTTAATATTTTTCTGTTGCCAACTAGCGGTAGGGGAGCGTAGTAAAAGCATTGAAGCTAAATCGTAAGGATTAGTGGAGTTTTTACTAGTGAGAATGCCGGCGTGAGTAACGATAGAAGGTGAGAATCCTTCTGGCCGTAAGACCAAGGTTTCCAGGGTGAAGGTCGTCTACCCTGGGTTAGTCGGGACCTAAGGCGAGGCCGAAAGGCGTAGTCGATGGACAACAGGTTAATATTCCTGTACTATCATAATTACTGATGGAGTGACGAAGTCAGCTAAGGTAAACCAGTTATTGATTCTGGTCTAAGTATAAAGAGGGTATGGTTGGCAAATACGCCATATGTAACCTTGAAATATGATGGGTAGGGGCAACCCGAATTATCGGAACGCTTTGCTTCCAAGAAAAACTTCTAAAGATATAATTATGGTACTCGTACCAAGAACGAACACACGTGGTCGGGGAGAATATCCTCAGGCCAGCGAGCAAACTATAGTTAAGGAACTCGGCAAATTAGCCCCGTAAGTTCGCGAGAAGGGGTGCCTAGGGCAACCTAGGCCGCAGTGAAGAGACACCGGCAACTGTTTATCAAAAACACAGCTCTATGCAAAGGCGTAAGCCGAAGTATATGGGGCGACGCCTGCCCAGTGCTCCAAGGTTAAGAGGAGGGGTTAGCCAGTAGTAAGATATTGGTGAAGCTCTGAATTGAAGCCCGAGTGAACGGCGGCCGTAACTATAATAACCGTTGTAGTTTCGTTAATAAAATTTGGCTATATGCTGGAAAACCCGAGTATCCTAAGAGTACTTTATCATAAAAGTGACAATCTCTTAGGTGCGGACAATCAGCAGGAAAGATTTCCCGAAAATGAATAAAATTAACTTTTCCAAAATAACTCCACAAATTGGCTATTACTTAGCCGGTTTTACCGATGGCGAAGGAAGTTTCCATGTTTCCTTTCGTCCACGAGATGATTATAAATTGCTTTGAAAAATATCACTTTGTTTTAATGTTTCACAAAAGGACAAAGTTATCTTAGCACTATTTAAAAAACATCTGCAATGTGGAAGTTTACGAAGTCGAGTTGATGGAGTTTGGTATTACGAAGTTAATAATTTCACTGCCATTGTTCAAAACATAATTCCTTTTTTTCGAAAATATGGTTTTCTCTCAGTCAAGAAAAAAAATGACTTTGCTAAGTTTCGGCAAATTGCCGAACTGATAGTAAGAAAAGACCATTTAACTAAGGAAGGAATAAAGAAAATTCTCGAATTACGAGAGCAAATGAATAATGGTGGTAAACACAAATATTCAAGTATGTTTATTTGAAAAAAGCTGGAAAAATCCCCAGAGACTATACGCCAAACAGAAGTAGATAATTCTAATTCTGATGATATAGTCCGAACTTCGTAGCGATACGAAGGAACCGATATCAAATCGGTCGCATTTTTAATAGAAAAAATGTTAACATAAATTTAATAATTGAACGGTCCAAAGGTAGCGAAACTCCTTGTCAGGTGAAAGAATTGCCTGAAAACAGTAGTAATATTGTTTAAGTAAACTGACTAATAACGGTGAACCCTAAGGAAGTAATTCTATGGGAATACCGTGGGAACACAAATAAACTTTGTGACCCGTAACGACTGAAGCGAAAGCTGAGAATTCGAGAAAAACGAGTTAAGACGTCAGCCCTTATTTAGTAGAAGGTAATTATGAAAATGTTTATTTGCGAACCATTTAAATAAATTTCTAAAATTATTGGATAAGGTGAAGGTATAGTCTGAACTAATAGGAAACTATTAGCTAACATTATTGAAGTTCTGACCCGCATGAAAGGCGTAATGACTGGTGTACTGTCTCAACTATAGACTCGGTGAAATCTTAGTACCGGTGAAGATGCCGGTTACCCGCAACTAGACGGAAAGACCCCGTGGAGCTTTACTGCAACTTGATATTGGGTTTTTTTCTGGTTTGTGTAGGCTAGGTGGGAGACTTTGAAGCTGACTTCTCAACAGGTCAGTGGAGTCGCAAGGTGAAAGACCACTCTAATCAGCAGAAGATTCTAACTTATTGGTTTACAGCCAAAAGGACAGTGTTTGGTGGGTAGTTTGACTGGGGCGGTCGCCTTGTAAAGGGGCGCTTCTATCGTAAGATGGAAGGCAAATTTAGCTATATGCTGGAACATCTGTTTTAACTAATTATTAGTACCGTTACTAATGAAAAGATTAAATGTAGTATCTGAAGTTACGAATTGCAAGATTCGTGAAAATACTTTCAGTGCAGACAATCAGCAGGGAAGTCTTCGTGACCCCTCAACGACTACATGCTAACATCCTTAATGGATGATGATATAGTCTGAACTTTATAGCGATATAAAGCCGAATGAAAATTTGGGATTTTCTATGAATAAAAATTTAAAATTATCTTCTGAATTAAGAGAAATCCTAGTGGGCAAGTTATTAGGTGACGGACATTTAGAAACTCAAACTAATGGTAAAACATGAAGGTTAAAAATTGAACATAGTATCAGGCAAAAAGAATATGTTTTGCATCAATACAATGTTTTCACCAAATGAGTTCTAACTCCGCCACGAATAATTTCCAAAGAAAATAACCAAAATTTTGGATTCCAAACCATTAGTACTGGTAAGTTAAGGTTCTATGGACAACAATTTTATAAAAATGGTAAAAAAGTTGTCCCAAAAATAATTGGGAAACTAATTACTGTCCGTGCTTTGGCCTACTGATATTGTGATGATGGTTCAATTAAGAGCAAGGAATCAAAAGGAGTTATTTTTAATACCCAAGGTTTTTCTCTTTCAGAAGTAGATTTTCTGTGTAAAGTTCTTCAAGAAAAATTTATTCTTGATTGCTGACCAAGAAGACAAAAGGAAGGTTGACAAATCTATATTTCAGGGAAAAGTTATTTTCAATTAAGAGAATTGATTCATCCTTTTTTATTTCCCGAAATGCTTTATAAATTTCCACAGGAACGAAAAATTAGAAAATTAACATTATTGCCTAAAAAGTAACGGAGGTGTTCATAAGGTATCCTCAATAGGTATAGAAATCCTATGTAGAGCGTAAAGGTATAAGGATGCTTAACTGTGAGACTTACAAGTCGAACAGATACGAAAGTAGGACTTAGTGATCCGGCGGTTACCTAGTGGTAGGGCCGTCGCTAAACGGACAAAAGTTACCCCGGGGATAACAGGCTAATACTTCCCAAGAGATCACATCGACGGAAGTGTTTGGCACCTCGATGTCGACTCATCGCATCCTGGAGGTGAAGAAGCTTCCAAGGGTTGGGCTGTTCGCCCATTAAAGCGGTACGTGAGTTGGGTTTAGAACGTCGTGAGACAGTTTGGTCCCTATCTGTTGTGGGCGCAGGAAATTTGCGGAGATCTGCTCTTAGTACGCAAGGACCAGAGTGGACTGACCAATGGTGTACCAGTTGTCCTGTCAAGGGCACGGCTGGCTAGCTACGTCAGGTCTAGATAAGCACTGAAAGCATCTAAGTGCGAAGCTAACTTCAAGATAAGATTTCCCATCCCGTGAGGGAGTAAGATACCTTCTAGACCAGGAGGTTGATAGGTGAAAAATGTAAGTATAGTAATATATTGAGTTAATTCATACTAATTTATCGAGGACTTATTTTTGGTATTTTTAATTTGCGTTCAGTTTTGAGAGAACTTAAAATAATAAGTCAAAGTTATTAAGTAAAATATTAAATATAGTAAATAAAATTGTACTGGTGACTATAACGAAGTGGTAATACCTGTTCCCATTCCGAATACAGAAGTCAAGCACTACCGTGGCGAAAATACTCTTTACGGGGAAGATAGCTCATTGCCAGTACTTTTTAGGAAATAAGGGTCAATCGGTGACAGCAAGGTTGACCTATTCCTAAACACTATTTTTCACTATTATTTTTAGTTAATGGCAAAAATTATTTTTTTGAATGGTTGTGCCTCGGCGGGTAAAACTACCCTTGCCAAAGAGATTCAGAATTTAGGTGAAGAAAAGTGATTATTTGTCGGAATTGATGCTCTTTTTGGTGCTATACCAGCCAAAATAGTTGGCTTTGATAAAAAAGCCGAAGAGAGTTTTCAATATGTTATTGACCCCCAAACTGGTATTTTAACTGAAATGAAAGCCAGTTCTTATGCTATCCAAGTTTTTTCCTGTCTGCCAAAAGTGGTTAAATTGCTGGCTGATAATGGATTAAATGTAATTTTTGACGAATGCAACTTTGTCAAGAAAAGCGAAGCCGAATTTCTAATTAATGATTACAAAACTCTTTTCTCCAATCATAAATTTTTAATGGTCGGTGTGAAATGTGATTTGGCGACCATGGAGCAAAGGGAAAAATTAAGAGGTGATAGAGTTATAGGAATGGCAAAGATTTTTTATCAAGCAGAAAAAAGTTTTCATTATCCTTATGACATGATTGTTGACACTACTCACGAATCCCCTTTTGCCAATGCCGAAAAAATTTTGCAATTTCTAAAAGAAAATTAGCCACGTGGGCTGCTTACTAAAAATATTTAATGGGCCCATGTAGCTCAGTGGATTAGAGCAAACGCCTTCTAAGCGTTAGGTCGGGAGTCCGATTCTCTCCATGGGCGCCATAATTTAATTAAAAATAATATTGTAATATAATAATAAACAAAAAACTAATTTTTTACTAAAATCATGACTGAATTCCCTATTTTATTATTAGACAACTTTTTCTTATTCCCCAACTGTGATAATTTTCTTCCCTTAGAGAACAATATTTATTGAAAAAAAGTACTTCTGCAAGCCTGAAAAGATTGTCAAGGTCAGTTGCTGGTTATTCCCAATAAGGAGAAATTTGGCGACAATTCCGAAAAATTTGTGCCGGTTGGAACCTTAGCCAAAATTAATTTGGATATTTCGGCGGAGGCTGACCTGGAACCAATCCTCAATTCTCTCAAAGAAATCCGGTTACGGGGCTTGAAAAGAATAAAAATAACTGACCTCAAAAAGAGGGAAGAATTTTGATACGGCAAATATCAAATCTCGCCGGAAAAAGAATTGGACGAAAAAGAACTAGATGAATTGACTGAGAAGTTCGTTCGTCATCTCCCTGACATTCTGGAAAAATCTAAATTGAGTTCGGTTGAGAAATTACCTTATATGACCATGATGCAGGGAAATGTTAGCAACCTTGTTGATTTTATTGCCCAAAATAGTCGAGAAATCGACCACTTAATGAAATGAAAAATACTGGCCTCATTGGACTTACAGGAACGACTGGAAATTTTAATCAACATGCCAGACCGACAAAAGATTGACAAGGAGGTTGAAGATAAAACCAAGGAAGCAATTAAAGATCAACAAGAAGAATGATATTTGCGAGAGAAGTTAAAGGCTATTGAAAGAAAATTGCGAAAAAAAGGGACTTATGGCAGCAATGAAATGAGAAAACATTTGGAAAAGTTAGAAAAAGAAAATTATCCTACTAGTGTAAAAAAGGTAATTCGGGAGGAAATAGAACGCTATGAAATGATGCCGGGTAATTCCAGCGAAGCCAACATTATCAAGCAATACGTGGACTGGTTAGTAAACATACCTTGATGACAAAAAACCCAAGAGATTAATGACTTATTATTTGCTTACAAAAAATTAGAAAAAAATCACTATGGTTTAAAAAATGTGAAAGAAAAAATTATTGAATATTTAGCTGCTCAACAAAAATCTAATAAATCTTTGGGACAAGTTATTTGTTTAGTAGGACCACCTGGAGTAGGAAAAACTTCACTGGCTGCTTCTATTGCTGAAGCAACCGGACGGAAATTTATTAGTATTTCCGTAGGAGGTATTCGTGATGTAGCGGAAATCCAAGGGCATCGCCGTACTTATATTGGGGCTATGCCAGGTCGAATTATTCAGGCTATGAAAAAGGCCCAAGTGATTAATCCGTGCTTTTTAATTGACGAAATTGATAAGTTTTCCTCTGATTACCGTGGCGATCCAGCTTATGCATTATTGGAGGTCCTTGACCCAAACCAAAACAAAAACTTCACTGATAATTATCTCGGGGAAGAAGTTCCTTATAATCTTTCCGAAGTAATGTTTATTTGCACTGCTAATGATGAACACGAATTACCATTACCTTTACTAGACAGAATGGAAATAGTTCGGCTTTCTTCCTACACTGAAATCGAAAAATTTCATATTGCTAAGGAATATTTAATTCCTGAAAGTTTAAAAAAGCATAATTTGAACTCCGGAGAAATAGTTTTTGAGGATCAGACTATTCGGGATATAATAAAATATTATACCCGGGAATCTGGAGTACGAGAATTAAACCGGAAAATTCAAACAATTGTTCGCAAATTTATAGTACAACTTCTGCAAGACCAAAAAGACAAGGTAGTGGTAACTCCTTCTATTTTGGTTGATTATTTGAAAAAAAAGGATTATGAGTTTACTTCCAAACAAAAAAGTTCGCGAGCGGGGATGGCTACTGGCTTGGCTTGAACTGGTTACGGCGGAGATATTTTGCCCATAGAGGTTGTTCATTATCCCCGTAAGGAGGGCGAGTTTGAATCGACAGGAAACCTAGGAGATATTATGAAAGAATCAGCACGAGTAGCACTTAATTACATCAAGGCTAATCACGAGAAATTTGGTATCAATTCGGAAATTTTTTCACAAAATAGTATTCATATTCATGCGCCAGAAGGAGCAACGCCAAAAGAAGGGCCGAGTGCCGGTATCGCTTTAACTTCCGCAATTATTTCAGCTCTGACTGGTCGCATTATTCCTCGTGATATAGGTATGACTGGTGAAATTACCTTACATGGTCATGTCGAAGCAATTGGTGGCTTAAAAGAAAAAGCCATTGCGGCTTGCCGGAGTGATTTAAAAACTATTATAATTCCCAAAGCTAATGAGAAAAATATTGAGGACATTCCTGAAGAAGTCCGTCGCGAATTGAAAATTATTACCGTTGAAGAGTATGAGGAAGTTTGAGAAACAATATTTGCTAACCAAAAACCCAAAAAAGTTCTCCCTTTACTAAAAAAAAGACCAACTGCCAAAGCAAAAGCTAATCCTTAACTTAAAATTTATTACATTAAAATATGAGTAAAATAGCAATTTCGATAGTAATCTTGATAGTAATATCACTGATTTATCACTTGCTTAAAAATAAGAAAAAAAAGAGGTATAACTGCGGAGTAGCAAATTGTCTGGCCGATAGTGATTACAACAAAATAAAAACCATCCCTCCACTTAAATGTATTGAGTGTGATAATTGCGCTGTGGAAAGTAATGGCTGTTGTGCTAATTGTAATGCCGGTGTTAATTTAGCGGTAGAAAATAAAAGTTTTTCCGCAGGGCAAAAACATTGCCACGAACACAATCATTCGCATTCTCATAGTCACCACCACCAACACGACCATTCTCACCACGCAGATATTAAAGGATATTTTTCTTTGCTGTTAATTCCCTTGATACTGGGATTAGTAGTTTATCGGTTTATCAGACTAATTAAAAATAGCACAAAAAAACCATAAAGTGTTCTAAGTTAAATTAAATAATAGTAAAGAGGAAAATTAACCAAAAGAAATTGTTATCTTACTAATAAATGCTAAAATATAAATTAAATAAATAAATTAAAATATATGACTGTGCTATTCATTCAAAAAGAATCGAAAGTTAATTTACTAACTCTCCGTGCCATTACCAATAAAGACAAAGTTAATTCTCTAATTGAAAAAAAAGCGTGAAAATCTACTTTAATTTCTGAAGAAAAAACTTGTTATTTATACCTTGATAAGGAAAGCGAAGATTATCAATTCCACAGCATTTATAATTATTTTGTTAATTTCTCTAGTGGTAGTGAAAGAGGTTGAAATATTGACATTCAATCCTTCGTTTCGAAAAAAATGGGAGAAGAAGAAGTAATTCAAGCTATTGCGGAAGGAATATTATTTGGCACTCATCAACCAATAAAGTTCAAAAAAAAAGAGGAGAGAAAAAAAAGTGGCGATTATTATTTGCTAACCAAAAACAAAAAAGCACAAACAATTTTGAATGATTCTCTTAATAAATTGGAAGCAGTTAATTGAGCCCGAGACTTGCAAGACGCACCACCTAATAGACTACACGCTAAAGAGTTTGCTGAAGCAGTTAAAGACAAATTTAGTAAAGTAAAAGATATTGAAGTAGAAATCTTGGAGAAAAAGCAAATCGAAAAAAACAAGATGGGTCTATTATTAGCCGTTAATGCTGGCAGTCATCATGAGCCGCGAGTAGTTATTTTGCGTTATTTTGGTGATAAGAAAAACAAAAAAGATATCCTAGGATTAGTGGGAAAAGGTATCACTTTTGATAGTGGTGGCTACAATTTAAAATCCTCACAGTATTTAGAATGTATGAAATTTGACATGTCAGGAGCTGCGGCAGTCTGCGCTTCTTTTCTCACCTTAATTAAGAAAAAACCAAAAATAAACGTGGTAGCGGTTGCCTGCTTGACTGAAAATGCCATTGGCGGTCACGCTACTCTTACCGAGTCGGTAATAGAATCTATGAGTGGTAAAACAGTGGAAATTAATAATACCGATGCCGAAGGTCGTTTGGTCTTGGCTGACGGAATCACTTACGCGATTCAAAAGGAAAAAGTCAATAAAATTGTTACCGCCGCTACCTTAACTGGTGCAGTAGTAGCAGCCTTAGGGGAGAATTTGACTGGTGTCTTAACTAATGACCGAAAGTTTTATCGAAACTTACGCCAAGCATTCGCTAAGTCGCAAGAAAGATATTGAGAACTACCGATAATTGCGGAAAATACCAAAGCCTTAAAGGAAAATACTTCAATAGCAGATATTAGCAACATAAGCAGTAGTCGCTATATGGGTGCTTCTAACGGAGCCGCCTTTTTACAAGAATTTGTCGAAAAATTACCATTTATTCATTGCGATATTGCCGGAACAGCCTGAAAAACTAAAACTAAACGCGGAACTGGGGTAATGGTCAAAACTTTAATCGAATTGTTTTCAACTATAAAATAATAAATTAAATATGGATTGTCAAGAAATATTGTTCCAAATCACAAAAATAACTAATTCTTTTTTAACAAGAGGGGATAATATTTTTTCTCTAATTCTCTGATCCACTTGGCCACAAACAAATTATTCTTTAAATAAGCCACTTTGGAGTGGCAAAAATTAATCTTTTTTAATAACTTTACCGCCTACTAATAGGCAACTATTATCATACTTTTTTATAACTTTTAACTCAATAATTTTATTTATCATATGTTTTTTTTAATCTATCTACTTGTCTTTGTTGCATTAATAGTAGCCTCATGATTTCCAGCAATAGCCAATAATCCAATCGGAATAACTGAGGTTTTTCCGGCTATATGGGAGTCAACTAAAACGACTCTTTCGTTTGATGGAAATGGTTTATCTATCATTGCTTTCGCTTTTCTTATTTATGCTGTTTTAAAAAGCAAAAGTTTTGAGGCCTTGTTTGCTTCCAAAAGGAAGTGATTACAAAAAAGAAGATTTGCCACTATTGCCATAATTACTGTTGCTGCTTCCCTTTTGGCTTCAAATTTCTGATGGGCTGACGAATTTCTTCATTTTTATCCTTTGTTGGTTCCCCTCTTGCTAGCCATGGGGTTTGACATTTTTTCCTCAGTGATTTGTCTTTGAGGTGGTACGATAGTGGGAGTGATTGGAAGTATGAACTGCGAACCCTATCAAGGTCTTTTTAAACAATGTGTCAACGAAAAAGCAAACACTAACTTTACTGGCACCGAAGGAGTCTTATTTCGCACAATTGTCTGAGTAATTTTAACCACAATTTTAGTTTTTTTTAATATCTGATATTGTAATAAAATTCAAAAAAAACCAACTACCCTACCAGCCAAGGAGGTTAAGTCAGAAAAGCTTCCCACTTTTAATTGAAGAAGGAAGTTAGTTTTATTTTTCGCCTTTTTCTTTGTTTTAATAAGTGTGTTGGGGTCCATTCCTTGATTTGCTGAAAAAACCAAAGGAGTATCAGAGAACATGCCTCGACGAATATGTAGTGATGAAGAAGTGATACAACACAAAAATTTAGGAACTGTCAAGGTTTCTCCCGACTCTTCCTCAAAAGAAAACGAGATAGAAATCGCCGAAGTCAAGAAAGATAGGAAATCCTCCTGAGGAAAATTTGGTAAATGAGATACTCCCCAGAAATGTTATTGATTTACCATTGGGGGAATAATTATTTGTTTAATAGCCAAATTGAATATTATTGATACTCTTATTGCTGCTATTACCAAAGCGATTCCGATTATTATCATTTACATTTTCTCCTATACTGTTCCTATACTGATTGGTAAAATGGGGTTAGAGATTAATCCATTCAGCCCTTTGCTCAAAAGCAGATTTGTGGCTTTACCAGCAATTTTCTTGGTCCTTTTTGTTTTATGTTTCTTTTCAATCAATATAATGCGAGTCATACTTCCTATTATAGCCCCGACTTTGAAAAGCCTTTCCACCAACACTCTGGCATACAGTTTAACGGCTATGACTATGGGTCGATTTTTGGCGGATGGAGTTTCGCCCATGGATGGAAATCTGCAAATGACCCTAAAAACTACTAAATTAACCTATAAGCAATATATAAAGAAAACTTGGATTTTATGAACAATAATTTTCTTTGTCTGCCTGATTTCAATAGCCGCCTTGCCCCTTTTCATCGACCGTGGCAGTGGCTAAACGAAAAAATAATAAATTAAAATTACAATAACTAAAAATAATTAACTTATGAATGATTTTCAGCAAGAAAAAGAAAAATTAACTGCGGCACTTAGCAACTTAAAAGTATCTAATGATATTGAAAAAGCTAACGCAGATTTAAAAAAGCATATTGGGTTTGAAAAAGAAAAAAAGACATTTTTGGGTCATTTTAAACTTTACGCCGTGACGCAGGGGCGTTTTTGACCCAAGAGGGAAGTAATTTGCTATTCCAGCGCTCCCGGTATGGGAAAAACAACTTTTGTCCAAAATTTGGCTAATGCTATGGGTCGAGATTGCCAGTCAATACCTTTGGCTGGCTTCAAGGAATCCGGAGAATATTCTATTTTAGGTGATGAAAAAAAACCTAGTCTAGTCGCTTGGGCGATTAAAAAACAGAGTTCCAAAAATCCTGTCATTTTGTTGGATGAGTTAGAAAAAGTTGAGGATAAAGAAATTCAAAAACATTTAATTCAACTTTTTAAGGATTATAAGAAAGGAAAAAAATTTACGGATAAATACTACCAAACCGAGATAGATTTAAGCCACATTACTTTTTTTGCCACGGTAAATTATATTGATGATTTAGACATGGAACTAAAAAAGGAAATTGACATAACTGAGTTACCAGATTTCACCGACCAAGAAAAAGAAGATATTTTAAAAATGAAAGCGAAAGAGATTAATGATAAATACTCAGGAAAAAAAGGTGGCATTATAAGCGAGGAAATTATCAAAGAAATACTTCAAAGAATTAAAGAAGTAGGAATAAGGCAAGCCGAACGAGCCTTATATAAGGTTGAACAAGAATATATTTATACCAAAAGTAAGGGCGAAAAGTTTACCGCTACCGAAAATCCCCAGGAATGAGTAAAAAAAAATATTTTCCCTTACCAAGAAGAATTTCAAGCCACTTGAAAACACAAATTCCTTTTTGCTCTCTTGGGACTGAACTTTGTTCTCTTTGCCAGTTGAATTTTTAAGAGATTTATAATCAAAAAACAACCCAAAAATTAAAATGTTATGAACGTAATTTCGGAACAAATAAACAAAACATTAGCAAGTAAAACTGAAGTGAAGAAAAAAAAAACTAAAGGAAAAGAAATTGGAGTTTTTTCTTGACCCTCTTTCTTTGCTGGTGAAGAATACAATCAAGAATTAGCCAAAAACAACCAAATATCAGAAGACAATATTATTGACTTTTCCCAAGAAAAAAATAAGGAAAAAGAATTAGTGGAAAACAAAATTAAAGAAATTGTTAATTCTTCCGCTAATAAGCAACTTGTCGGGCAGGGAAATTTTCCCATTATTTGATTTAAGAATATTGATAAAATTGTCAATAAATCGCCACTTCAAAAATCCTTGTTGGCTATTTTTGACCCCTCACAAAATGCTAATTTATTCATTAAGGGAACAAATATTTACTTATCCCAGTTTGTTTTAATTGCTACTAGTTCTACCCAAGATACTGGTCAATTATCTAATCCTCTTTTTTCCCGTCTTGATTGTATTAATGTGGAGACGGCTAAACCGAAAGAATTTTTTTGAGATAAACACTTTTACTCTATCGCAATTGCTTCTGGTCTAACCTTTTTAGTTTTGATATTGCTACTTATTTATTATTCTGATAGAAAAAAAACGGAGCCGGAAAGTTAATACATGTTTAGGTTTAGAAAAACATAAATTATATAACATATAGGCAGAGTTCTACAAAAATAGAATAAAAACCTATATATAAAATATAATAATGATGACCAAGCATGATAAAAAGTTGCAAAGGAAAGGCCAAAAATGATTAGTTTCCTAATCCCAATTACTCCTGATTATTTTTGACCGAAAAAGTGAATGGGAGCAGTTATCTAATCTGAAAATAATAGGTGCCTAACTACTGGGCTTTTAGGTAGTAAAAACACAAAATAAAAATACAAAGTAATTTAATAAAACATATGGTAAACAATAACAATTTAATAACAAAAGAAAATCGTTGTGTTTCTTGCTTAGGACCTGGAACAGCAACGAGAATAGGAAATGCTTTTGCTGGCTTTTTTGAAAAAAATGACACTATTCAATCTTGAATTGATTGGAGTTCTAGTTTACCATCGGGAGTGGATACTATTAAAGATTCTAGTCTTCCAACAAGTACAACTACTGGAACATGAGGATTAGTTATAAGAAGTGTAGAAGATGCTCGAAAGATACTTGATATGTTGTCAAATCGACAGATAAAAATTATGGATAATTGACCTGCTACACAAGAAGAAGAAACTCCTAGACTTAGCTTAATAAACAGTCTAAGGTCGTCCATAGAAAAGTACGAAAGAGGAGAAGATGTTAATGTATCCAGTTTTGAATTTTAATTGCTGAAGCAAAAAAGTATTATTAAAAAAAAAAGATTTATATGATTATTGCTTTTTCTTATTTCTATTTTAATTATATCTATAATTATTTGAAAAAAATTAGATATAAACAGTTTTAGAAAAATAGAAAATGATATTTTATGTTCCCACAAAAAATCTGAGGAAAATAAACCACATAACTCTAAAAATTTTGAGTGGGAATGTGATTATTGTGGGGTAGTAATCAATTCAAAAAAAGATAATGAAACTCGCAGTTATTATCAATATGAAAGTTTTTTAGTTTCTTTGATAGAAGAACATCTAAACAAGTGCAAAGAAGCTCAAAAAATTCTTGATTTTGTCGAAGCAAATAAAGTTGAAAATTTAAGCTATGATAATACAAACTCACTTCAAGAAAAAGGATATTACCCAAAACTAACAGTAGAACAAATTATTAAAGGATATCAGAGTCAAGTAGTAAAGCAAATTAAAAGTTGGGGTTTAATAAACAAAGTTAACCTGCCAAATTTAAAAGAGAAAACTAGGATTGGTGTGGTAAATACTTTATCTGTTGACTATTCTAAGAGGATTGGTGAGATTAATGATTTAGTAATTTTTCTAACACCTCGCCCTTGCCCAATTTTCTTGCTAGATATTAAAAAAAGCGATTTGAATTTTTTCTATTCCTCTTGGGGAGACAAAGTAAAAAGAAATTATGAAAAAATAGTAGCAAGTTTTTTTATTTGAAAGTCGTTGCAAAAACGAAAAAAATGAGATCATAACATTTATTCCTTGCAAGTTGATAAAAATGACTTAACTGGTAGATATACGACAGTCTCGGGAAACTCAGCAACAATGGCTTTTTATTTAGCTCTACTTAGTTGTTATTATCAAAAACCTATTTCGCGAGAGGTAGTCGCCACTGGTTCTATTGATATTGGAAAAATGTCTAAGTTCTGATGTGTTCAATGTTTTCAGGAAAATGAATTAGCGAAAAATATGGAAAAAATTTTTTCTCAAAATGAAATTAAGCAAGTAGGTGGCTTAGAATATAAAATTCCTGTTGCAATAGAATCAGGAGTTAAAAAATTAATTCTCTCCGTTGAGCAAAAGAAGGATTATGAAAAAAATGTACCCCAAGAAATCCGAGAAAAGTTAACTGTTTATTATGTTAAGAATGTAGAAGAATTAGAGGAATTATTTTTTAGGGGAGAATTTTCCTAAGTTTAGCTAATCCTTTTCAACGAAAGGTTAAATTCCTTCCAAAAACCCTTAATAAAATCATAGTAATTATTTTCCCCTTGACTAATTTTATCTAATTCTGTTTCCAAAGCGGCAGTATAACCCTCATTTATCAGGGTAGCAAAATTTTCTTGTAATCAGTTGTTAACTGAAAATCCAAGAGGGGTGGGGACAAATTGCCCCTTTTCGTTCAATTCAGCATAGCCTCTTTTCAGTAATACTCGACCAAATAAATTGTAGGTAGAGGGGCGACCAACGCCTAATCTTTCTAATTCTTGGACCAAACTACCCTCATTATAACGGACTGGTTTATTTTCTTGATATTCTTGCACTTCAACTTTTTTGGCTTCCAGTTGCGAAATTGTTGCTAATTCGCTCTTTAACTTGACATTATAATTAGAAAAATAAATTTCTGGCGAGCAAGCCAAAAATCCAGCAAATTGGCAAACTCTTTCCGCAGTAGCAAAATAGTAATTATTATTAAGAAAACTGTAAGTAATTTTGTTGACTTGAGCAGGACTCATTAAACTAGCCAAGGTGTGATTGTATATTAATTTGTATAAACTATATTCTTCTTCGGTCAAAGAATTTTTGATTTCTTTGGGATGATAATCTAAGTAAGTGGGGTGAATAGATTCGTGAGCATCTTGCACGTTAAGCGTTTTTTCCTTTTTTTTCCAGGCCGGATTAGTATTAGCATAATTAGGACCTCATTGTTCCCGGATATATTTATAGGCCAAACTTGTAAATTCTTGATTAATACGAGTTGAGTCAGTACGAGGATAGGTAATCAATCCGACTTGTTTTCTTTTGGTGCTTACTCAAACACCCTCATAGAGTTTTTGGGCTAATTGAGTAGTTTGAGCCACTGAAAATCCTAATTGCGATTTGGCCTCGAATAATAATAAAGAAGTAATAAGGGGAGATTTTGGCAAAATAAACTTTTTTTCCTCTTTTTTGCCGGTTAGTTGAAAAATTAAACTTAGTTTTTTCCTAATTTCTTCGGCTTCACTTTTGTCCTTATAAAGGATTAAATCACCAAACTTATCGACTTGTTTTAGAGTTATTTTTTGGTCATTGACTTGGCAAATTCCACAAATGATATAAAGTTTTTTTTTTTCAAACTTTTTTATTAGTTCTTCCCGCTCAATAATTAATTTCAAAACCACTGATTGCACTCGACCAGCTGATAAAGCTTGCAGTTTTTTTTGCAGCATTGTACTCAGGCAAAAGCCAATCATGCGGTCCAGTACTTGCCGAGAAAGTTGTGATTCGACCACGTTTTGGTTAATAGTCAAAGGATTATTCAAGGCTTCCCTAATACTCCGTGGTGTTATCTCATAGAAAAGTAAGCGCTGGCATTTTAAGGGGTCTACCCCTAAGGATTTAGCAGCTTCTTGGGCTATCGCTTCACCCTCACGGTCGGGGTCAGTCGCCAGGTAAATTATTAAATTTTTTTCCTTGGCTAAATAATTCTTTCAAGCGCTAATTAAACCTTTTTTTTCGGAAATTATGTCATAAGAAGGGCTGAAACTCTCCAAATCCACTCCTAAATTATACACTCCGGTTTTTCTTAATTCTCATAAGTGTCCGCCGGTGGCAAATATCGTGTACTCTTCGCCCAAAAACGACTGAATAGTCTTTTTTTTCGTAGCCGATTCCAAAAATATTAAGCCTTTTTTCATATTCACCTATAATTTTTTTTACAAATCATTGCTGAAGAAAACGGCCAAAAATTAAAAATATAACTTTTATGAAAATGGAGTATGGAAAGCAAAAAAAAAAAAAAACAGTAATTATTGTTAGTGTTCTTGGAGTTTTAATCCTGCTTATTGGAACCTTTTTTTTAGGAAGAATATCAGTAAAAGATAAATCGCCAGAACAAAAGAATACTTTGCCCGATAATGACCAAGAAATCCGAAGACTAAAATCTGAATTAAATTCAGTTAAAAATGAACTTAATCAATCAAACACTAGTCAAAAAAATCAGTTAGAGAATAAGTTATCTAGTATCGAAAATAAGATGAAAATCCTAACTAACCAAGGTAAATCAACTATTCAACAATTAGAACGAGAAATTAAAGAGATTAAGGACAAAATTAAAAATGATAAACCAGGAGATAATCCGCCTGCTGATAAAAATCAATTACAATTTGCGGTTTTTTATCATATTGATTTAGGACTAAATCATATGTATCATACTGATAGTGGCCTTGTCAAAGTCATTTTAATTGATAAGGAAAACCCCAATCTTTTTTAATAATAAAGAACTAGTAAAGAAAGGAAGTCGTTACATCGTTAACTTTTTGGCTGAGGATGCTGGGAAATATGAAAATCAATCCCATGTTTATTATTTCAGCAAAAATAATGATAAATTTAGTTTAAAGCCTGAACAAAAAAAACCAGAAAAATCCAAAACTGAGGCAAAAGTTTGGTTTTCGGGCAATGCGGTCAATGAAAAAGGAGAGTATACCGATTACGCTTTTATGAATCTCAAGAAATCCGAGCCAACCGAAGTTCAGTTGTTTTATGTTAATGAAAATCGCCCCCAAATTAAGCAATTAGCAAGTCAAGGAAAATTACAACAAAAAGAACAATTTACTATCCGTTATGGGAAATTTGATAAAGAGCATGCGGGAGGTTTTGCTTATGATTTTAATGAATTTAACCAAGAAGTTTAAAAATAATAAAAAATATGAAAAAACAATTAATATGGGTTATTCGCACCAAGAAATTGAAAAAAAGTGACAAAAATATTGGGTCAAAAATCAAACTTTTTTTACTAATTTATTAGATACGTCCAAACCCAAAAAATACATTTTGGCAATGTTTCCTTACCCGTCGGGTAGTGGTTTACATGTCGGACATATCCGCAATTATACGATTACTGATGCCTTAGCCCGTTTTTATCGCTTAAAGGGATATAATGTGCTTATGCCAATTGGCTGAGATGCTTTCGGTTTACCAGCCGAACAATATGCCATTCAAACTGGTAATCATCCGGCAACTTTTACCGAAAAAAATATTGAAAATTTTAAAAATCAATTATTAAGTCTAGGTTTTTCTTATGATTGGAGTAAAGAAATAAATACCAGCGACCCTAATTATTACCACTGAACCCAATGGATTTTTTGTCAAATTTATCGTCAAGGACTAGCCGAACATAAAGAAATACCGGTTTACTGATGTGAAAAGTTAGGGACGGTGCTTGCCAATGAGGAAATAAAAAAAATTGCTGGGAAAAAAGTTTCGGAACGGGGAAATTTTCCCGTAATAGAAAAAAAAGTCCCGCAATGAGTTTTAAAAATTACTAATTATGCCCCCCAATTATTAGAGGGTTTGGAGAGATTGGACTGACCTAACAGCATTAAAAGTTTACAAAAAAACTGGATTGGACTAACCAAAGGAGCAATTATTTATTTTCCACTAGCAGAAAAAAATCTGTCTATTTCTGTTTTTACTACTCGTCCCGATACTATTTATGGTGTGGTGGCAATTGCTTTATCCGCTAATCATCCTTTAATTTCGGCAATTGTTTTACCTAACTATCAAAAAAAAGTTGCTGATTTTTGTCTTTATTGAAGTGATAAAAAAGAAAGTAAAGAAATTGCGGGCGAATTTACGGGCAGTTATTGCCTTAACCCACTTAATGAGGAAAAAATACCAATTTGGATAACTAATTTTGTCATTAGTGATTACGGCACTGGCGCGGTAATGATTGCACCTTATTTTTCCCAAGAAAGTGAGTGAGACAAGTTTCCTCCCCAAACTAATTTATTTACCGAACAAGAAAAAAAACAAAATAGAGAAATTGATTTTGCTTTCGCAAAAAGACACTATTTATTGAGGACAAAGCGGAAGGAGGATTGAACCTTGCCAATAACAGAGGAGAATTATCAAACAAAGATAAAAGAATATCAAAAAGACCAAGAGGTAGAAAAAATTAACCAGCAATTAGAAAAAAACCAAACCGGTAAAAGAACTGAAATCTACCACTTAAAAGATTGAGTTTTTTCCCGACAACGCTATTGAGGTGAACCCATTCCCGTTATTCATTGAGAAGACAATAAGAAAGAATTACTAAAAGCAGAAGAATTACCGTTAAAATTGCCTTCTTTAAAGGATTTTGCTCCTGACCCTCGTTATTATGCTCCTTTACAAAAAGATGAAAATTGGGTAAATACAATAAGGGGAGACAAAATAAAAGGAAAAAGAGATGTCAATGTTATGCCACAATGAGCTGGTTCTTGCTGATATTATATTGCTTTTTTATTAAAAAAAAATAACTCTTACTTACCACTCAACAGCCAAACAACCCAAGAAATTATAAAAAACTGGTTGCCGGTCGATATTTATATTGGTGGTCAAGAACACGCAAACCTCCACTTACTTTATGCTCGTTTTTGGCACAAAATTTTACACAAAATTGGAATAGTTAATTACTCAGAACCCTTTCAGAATTTTTTTTGCCAAGGCATGATTTTAGGAACCGACGGCGAGAAAATGTCGAAATCACGAGGGAATGTGGTTAACCCAGATGAGTTAGTAGAAAAATACGGAGCCGACGCCTTACGACTTTACGAAGTATTTTTAGGTCCGCCCGAACAAACTACTAAATTTGATCACAAAGAAAATATTATTTATTACACGAAAGAC